TTTTTGTGCACCGGGCCTCTAGTTTTGAAGTAAAAAAACAAAACGGGAACAAATACAATATTTGTATTTGCATGTGGCCCGCGGGCCGTAGTTTGAGGACCCCTGCTCTAGAAACTGAGTGACACCAGCTAGGGCCAGCAATTCTTTCAGTGGGGACAAGCTGGAGCAGGCCTGAGCTGAGGGCCCAGGCAGCGCACATGGGACAGCTGGAGGAACCAGGGACTGCCACCAGTCTTCTTTCAGGGAAGGGTCAGAGCCTTGCTCTGTGCTCTTCAGAACTGACGACTGTGGCGGGGAGAGGGGGGCTTTGTGGCCAGGCACTTCAGGGTTGGGGGTGAGCATCCCCACATGGGAGGGATGCACTTGGGCCTGGGGGGTGCATGCCTTGACACATCCCACTGTGGCCCCCTCCAGCACACTCTTTGGGGTTTGCCCAGGGCCCGCCCCTCCTGACCCTGCCCTCAGCCACCTGGAAGAAACTCTCCAGGTAGCCCTTCCTGGGCAGCAGCCAAACACTTCTCTGTTTCCATTGACAATGAATTTTCATCCTTTGTTCGCCCAAGTATTTCCCATGGGGCTAGACTCCTCCCTGCAGGGCCAGGGCAGGGATTTTAGCATCAGCTGCTGGTGGGCCACCAGGTGTTTAAGAGCGGACATGAACGGGAGGGGCTGGCAGGCCTCAGTGGGGTACAGAGGAGGAAGCAGCTCCCCACCTCCCTTTCCTGGCTTTGGCCTCACCTGTGGAGAAGACCCCTCCCCACTTCCAGCTTCCCCTCCTAGGCAGAGATGGGTCCTGCAGGCGCCAGACAGATACAGGGTAGGTGGGAGGCAGGTCATCCAGCGTCAAAGCAGAGGCCCTGGCCTCTTCCTGGGCCAGCAGAGACCCCTCTGCAGCAGGCCTGGGAACAGGCCCTCTAGGACCCCCACTGACATTCTGAACCCGGCTGCGGCAGTGCTTTGGCGCCCCCCAGTGACTGAGTGGGCCCAGAAGCCTGGGGTTGAAGCCAACACCCTAGGCACAAGGCTGCCCTATTGGCCAGGACTGGGCCCAATGGGTGGCCTGGTGCAAGTTCAGCCAACGGCCTTGATAATGAGAAAGGACTATCTCTCTGATGGCGGCCTGGGGAGCTTTATCTTCTAAGCACCAGGAGCACAGGTGGGGACCAGGCAGACTAGATATGCAGGGACATGTGCTCCACATTGTCTGGCCCTTCCCTGGATTCCTGGTGGGAGGTTGGCTCCAGGCAGAACCACACCCTCCCAAGCTTTTTCCTTAGTGCCACACCCCAGTGTCTAGGGCTCCACTCTGGGCACCCCTGGAGTCCTGCTACACCCTCACTGATGAGGCCTCTGGCCCTGCTTGCTGCTGGGCAGGCTGTATCCACCTGTCACCACCTCAGGTCGTAAACCCCATGGAAAGCAGTTGGGGCCAGCAGACCTGAGCTCAACTCCCTTTTATGTTGGCTGGGTGGTGAGGCAAGGTCCTCAGCCTCCCTGGGCCTTAGTTTCTCCATTTGTACCTGGCATGCAGGCAGCTCAGTGTAAGGGGGGGGGGGTTGCAGTTTGGGAGATGTTTAGCTAACTCCCTTTCAAGTCAGATTTAGTAACCTTCTTGGTGGTGTCCCTGTGACTATGGTGGCAGCTGAGCTCTCCTCCCAGCCTGCCTCCCCTCTGTCCCTCCCAAGCCCAAGCCTGTTGGGGTCTTGGCCTTTTCTGTGCCTTTGATTTGGGTACTGTACATGGCCTCACCTGGGGCCCTGATTACATGTCCCATGGGACAGCTTGTTCACGAACCTGAGACTTGCAATGCTGCCCGCTCAGCCCATCTGGCCCTGGGTGTCATGTTGGCAGCCGGGCTGCACACAGGGGCCAGGTCCTACTATGATCTCATGGCCCCATGTGGCCCTGCTCCAGGAGTGCCCTTGGACAAGCTCTGCTGGGGGCCCAGCCTGCAGGTGCCATCCTGGGACCTCTCAGAGGTTTACAGCAAGGCCAGAAAGATCAGGAGGGGCTGGCTTGACTAGGCCATCTCCTGCTGTCTGAAGTCAGATGACACATGGTTCCCAGTACCTCAACCACCACCAGGTGGTGCTGAGCCAGGCCCATTGCACTCTACCTCTTGACCCCCACAGGGGAAGGAGCCGAATTGTGTGTGTGCAGCAACAGCTTTAATCTGTGGTGACACAGTCCTAGCTTTGCCCTTCTGCATCCAGGCCGCCCTCACTCTGCCTGGAAGAGTCTTTTTTTTTTTTTAATATATTTTTATTGATTTCAGAGAGGAAGGAAGAGGGAGAGCTAGAAATATCAATGATGAGAGAGAATCACTGATTGGCTGCCTCCTTCACGCCCCCCACTGGGGATCGAGCCCACAACCCGGGCATGTGCCCTTGGCTGGAATTGAACCTGGGACCCTTTAGTCCGCAGGCCGATGCTCTATCCACTGAACCAAACCAGCTATGGCTGGAAGAGTCTTTCTTGAGAAGATGAAAGCAGGGTCACTGTGCAAGTCAGTGCCTGGTGTTTGTGTGAAACATCTCTGGGCAATTTGTCTTTAGTTACAGTACTGCTGAGTGATGGACAGAAACAGACCCAAGACTGTGTCAGCAGGGTGAGGCTGGGCACAGAAAGCAGAGTTCCCATATTTATTATCATACATACATACATATATATATATTTCATGTGTATACACAGATAGTTTTCTCTCTTGGAAGTATTAAAAAAATTGATCAACCTTCAATCTATAAAAAATACCTACTCTACATGATAGAAAAATCTCTCCTCCAAGTTTACACTGATTTACACCCAAGGCTTTCCCCAAAATATACAATACGAGGCAACGTCTTAAGTCTTAGTGTAGAAGGTGGGCCATGTAGAAGATGGAGGGATGCAGGGCAACACACATGCTTACACGCACACACACATGCATACACCTCCCATACGCGGTCACACACAACAGTAGCCAGTTCGTGGTGGGTCTTGGCCCACCTGGGAGTGCCTGGAGGCTCCTGGCCAGTGCTCGGGCTAAGGTGGGCGGCAGGCCCAGCATCCCTGTGGGGGTGACACTGCTGCTCCTGGCAGCGCAGGTGCTGGGCAGTGGTAGTGCAGAGCTGGGCAAGGGAACCCCCACGCTGCTGGGAAGGCCTTGTTCTCTGCTCTTGATCTGTGTCCTTGGACAGCCTGCCCTGCTCGGCCTTCTGCAGAATGTACCTGGGGAAGAATGATGACTTCTAATGACTTTGGACTCCTGGAGGAAACATTTGGACTCTGGCCTGGGAAAGTGGGACTTTACCCGAGGCAGCAAGATCTGCACAGAAAATGGGGTAATCCAGGAGGCCAGGAAGGCCACGCCCCTGGGGAGGTAGCACCTCACCCTGGCCCTGTCTATACCTCAGGAGTCAGAGGGGTCTGGCAATGTCCACCCCTCCCAGATAGTACATTCCATACCATTAGACTCTGAAGTCCTGATTTCAGAGCAGAGGCCCCAGCTCCCACAGGTTATTGTAGAGAGGGTCCAACTGTGAGAACAGATGCATGGCCGGAAGCCCCTGGGCCTGAAGCTGGACTGAGTGACAGCCTGAGCAGCTCAGGGAGACAGCCTCAGAAAAGCTTGGGGGAAGAGGGATGGGCTACAGCTTCTGGTCAGACCCTGACTCGCACTGGCCTCACTGCCTGTCTCTTTCACATACCACCGCATCTGGGGCCTCTAGATGGTCCAGGAGCGGCCGAGCCTTGAGTGGCACCAGGTCAGGAAGCCTGTGCTGACATGCATAGCTGCACCCCAGGTGGGGACCCATTTCCTTCATTTCCTTCTTTTCTCCCCTGACAGGGCAGGATAACGGGAGGGTCTACTATGTGAGAGGGAGCTTATGGAGAGGCTCATCCCAGCATGAGACACTGTCCTCACATCTCTGCAGAGAGGAGGGGGCAGGGGAAGGCCAGAGCTGAGAGCAGGCCCAATTCCACCTGCATCTGCTGTGGGTTCCAGACCAAGGGCTTCTCTTTCCTTCTCCCTCTTCCACCACCCCATCTTTATGTGCCCCAGCTCAGCTGTGCGCTCTGGGCTCGGGCATGGGACCTGCTATTCTTGGCCCACGTGTGCCGCGGCCATCTCTGTGGTGTTGGTGGAGTCCAGAATCACCCTGGGCTGGGCTGGGCTGCTTCTACTTGACCTCCAGGATGGACGGGTTGGTCTCCATGATGGCCACGATGATCCTGTCAATGTAGTCCTGCAGGCGAAAGTTGATCTCTTCCTGCTTTTGAATCGCTTCCATGAGCTGTGGGAGAAGCAAGAGGTGGGCACTGGACACAGACTATGGGCACTTTCTTTTTTTCTTTTTCTTTTTGAGACTGTGGGCACTTTAGAGTCCCAAGCCTAGGGGAGTGGATACATTACCTCATCGCGGGAGACCGAGCTGATCTCTGCGGCCAGAGATTCAGAAAAGGATGTGGAGAAGAGGTTCTTGGCGCCCTGGATGCTCAGGTTTATGATCTGTCCATTGAGCTCATCGTTCTGCTCCTTCAGGTTACGGTTATCCTAGGGTGGGCAGCATGACAGTGTCATTCCTGGGCTGTGACCCTCCAGAGACCCCTCTTCCAATGCGGGTTGCCAGTAAGCTTCTTCCAGGTATAAGGGTGTCTGCCCAGCAGTACCTGCTTCAGCCTGCGGACCTCCTGCTCCAGCTCGCTCTCCCGGGTACGGCTATTGTACTCCTGTAGGCCTACACTGTTGCTCCGGCCCCTCCTCTGCTCCGCCTCCAGCTTGAAGAGCTGTAGATGCTCCAGCTGCTTCCGTAGGTCCTCAATTAGCTGTGTGGAACCGCAGAGTGAGCAGCCAACCCAGTCCCTGGTTTCAGAACCTCTGCATCGGTCTAAATGCCATTTCTGAGGAGGATGATGCCACGCTTCCCAAACACCACCATGCACCCAGTACCTCCCCCCATCCCCCACCCCCCGCTGAAAGCAGTGGGCTCCCAGCTCACTCCAGATGGGCCCTATGGATTCTGGGACCTCACTAGTGGGCTCCCAGCTCACTCCAGATGGGCCCTATGGATTCTGGGACCTCACTAAGTGACAGTCCTGGGCTTGTGTTCACCTCCTGGGTTGCCTCCTTGTCCTTCTGGAATTGGTGTCTCTCGTGACTCAGCCTGTCCCCCAGCTTCCTCCTGTTTTCCTGCTCGTCACTGAGCCGCAGTGACAACTCTTCAATCTCATCCAGCAACTTCTGTTTCTCCTGCAAAGTTAAACACTTGCCATGGACACACTCACCTGCCACCCCATACACATGGCTTTCCTCAGCTGCATGTGTCCTGAGTCTCAGTTCACTGACGTCCACAGGGCTGCACTGGAGCCTTCCTGTCAAAGCCCAGGTGCACACACACACAGGCATGCGCTCTCAGGGCCTGTGCCTACCCTGAGTGCAGTGCATATGGAAGGTGGGTTCTTGGTGTGGGCACCTCCCCCCAAAGTACTGTTTCTAGGGGAAGGCAAGAGCAGGCCCTGACCCCCGGCCACTCAGCAGGAGTTGCTCACGGCAACCAGAGCCCAGGTGGTATTCGACTTGCTCAGGGTTCAGAGCTTCCCAGGAGGCACTTGGCAGGAAGTGGAGGATGGGGGAGGAGAAGCCTCTCAGTGAACATCTGCAGAATAGGGCGCGAGGGGTCCAGCTGAAGTCGGCCCCTCAAAGACATCCCTGGGTTCAGACCACGGGTCAATCGAAGCATGAACCTCTGACCCAAGGATCCTGTGTCTGTGGGAAAGCTGAGCAGCCAGGCAGGCTCCAGCATCTTCCAGCAAAGGGCAGTGGCCTGAGCTGAGCTTGTTCCCTCACACACAGGCCCGGCAGGCCCGGCATCATCAGCCTGCTCTTTGGAGCAGCAGCTCCCCAGCCTGTGGCGCACCCCTTGGCTGGCCATACCCCTGCAGACCCATTAGCTGGCTGTGAGTGCCCTGCTCTGGCTAACCTGTCTCAGCACTTCCGGATCCAGAGGGTGTGGGAAAGCATGTAGGCCAGCATGACTGGTCTCAGTGACTACACAGTGCAAGGCCTGGCCCTGCCCACTCAGCGCTCCTGGCAGGCAGCTTACCTCCTCCAAGCGTTCGATGTTGGCCTTCAGACAGGGCGTGCAGGACCTCAGCTCACTGTTCTCCTCGTCCAGTTGCTGCAGCCTGGGATATAGAATGAGGCTGGGACCCACTCCCTAGGAATTCATCTCCTTGGGGTGAGGGAGGCTGAGTGTTTTGGAAATCTCAATAGGGGCTTCCCAGGCATCCACAGAGGCTACTCCCCAGTGCCGACAGCCCAGCCCTTACACACACAAGTGCTCTGGGCCAAAACTTTTCATGGACTAGGACGGTTGTTAAATATACTCTGGGTGTGGGGATAATTTCAGGTTTACAGAGTAGTTACAGACACAGTGCAGAGTCCCTATGGACCCTTTCAGCTTCCTCTCGAAGCATCTGCTCATCACTGCAGCAGGTTCGTCACAGCCCACCCACCCGCACCCCAACACTCTGGTCACCAAACCATGGATGCAGTTCAGCTTTTCCACAAGTGCCCCTCTAGGATCCCTCCCAGGACCACACTGCACTTAGTTGTCTCCATTGTCCCCTATGTGCTGGGGCAGTCTCGCAGATTTTCCTGGTTTTTCATTACTTTGACAGTTTTGAGCAATTCTGGTTATGTATTTAGTAGAACGTCCTTCAAATTGGGTCTTCCTTGTGTTTTCTCATGATTAGCTGGGTTATGGTTTGGGGAAGAACCCCACAGAAGTGAGGTGCCACTCTTATCACATCAGATCAGGATGCCTAAGTCTAAATGGGTGATGCTGACCTGGACACCTGGTTAAGGTGTGTCTGCCAGGGTCTCCTCTGTCAAGTTCTACTTTTCCCGCCCATTCTCTGTATCTGGAAGACGGTCACTGAGTCCAGCCCACGCCCCATGGAAGGGAGGACTCAGCGCCACCCCCGGGAAGGGGGATCTCCATGTATTATTTGTAATTCCTCTGTGAGGAAGGTGTGTGTCTTCTCCCCATTTACCAGCCATCACATTTAGTTACACTTTGGGTTGTGGGTCAATGCTATCAGTAGTGTGTGTCCCACCTTTGACCTTCAGTTGGCTCGTGTCCTTGGGATATGCACCCATCACTGCGTGTGTATGCTTTTGTATGAGCACTTCCCTACTTTCTGGCACTACAAGATGCTCTAGGCCAGTGGTTCTCAACCTTCTGGCCCTTTAAATATAGTTCCTCATGTTGTGACCCAACCATAAAATTATTTTCGTTGCTACTTCATAACTGTAATGTTGCTACTGTTATGAATCGTAATGTAAATACCTGATATGCAGGATGGTCTTAGGCGACCCCTGTGAAAGGGTCGTTCGACCCCCAAAGGGGTCGCGACCCACAGGTTGAGAACCGCTGCTCTAGGCTCTGCTGGTCTACTCTGTCCTAGCCATAAACTCAGCCCTTTCTCTAGGATCCCTGGTTCCTTTCCATAATCCAGTTGTCCTCACCACTATGTTGCTCTGAAGCTCCTCTCACTGAGGGTGTCTTCCTATACACCATAATGGGCTGAGGCCATGCTGGGGAGGCCCCTGTGCTGGGCTGACCTCAGGGTGCTGACCCAGGGCTGCAGGGGCTCCTGAGGACCTGAGCAGCCCCGCAAGAACCACAGGCCTCCTCTGTTCCCCATCACACTCCCAGGGAGCTGTAGGAGGCTGATAAGGTCCAGGCACACAGAGCCACTGACCCTAGGTGCACAGGGCAGGCAGCAAGTTTGGCCAGAAGAAGCTGTGACATCGACTCCTGCGGCATGAGACCCCATCTACCATGTGCCCCTCCATGCTGCTACCCTGAGTGGCCAGTAGGACAACCTGGCTGTGTAGGCTTTGGTGTGGACCGATGTGGGAAGCAGGACAGCTCTGCCTCTCAGCGCCACAGCCCCAGTGGAGGTCCAAAGGAAAGGCTACCAGCACGCACAAATGAGAAATAGTTGAGTCCACTAAACTGCGCTGTCTTGGCTGTCTGGGTGGTGGCACCCCACTGTGTCTGCATGCAAGGAGGCTTCCCTGTCCAAGGTGACCCTGGCACAGCTCTGGTATAGCCCACTCATGCCACCCCACTTTTGAAAATGCCCAGTTCTTCTTAGATAAAGTCTAAGTGTATCTTCCTAGCTTTAAGAGCTGGAAAGGCCCTAACCGGTTTGGCTCAATGGATAGAGCGTCAGCCTGTGGACTGAAGGGTCCCAGGTTCGATTCCAGTCAAGGGCATGTACTTTGGTTGCGGGCACATACCCAGTAGGGAGTGTGCAGGAGGCAGCTGATCAATGTTTCTCTCTCATCGATGTTTCTAACTCTCTATCCCTCTCCCTTCCTCTCTGTAAAAAATCAATAAAATATATATATTTTTTTAAAAAGAGCTGGAGAGGGACACAAGCTAATGAATGTAGAGTCCCCTTTCACGAATATTTAAAACTACTGTATTCTGACTCAGTTAAGAAACACAACTCTATGAAATACCCCCACCCTCACTAACCAGTGGAGGTGCTCTGGGAGTGAGAATGGGAGGGAACTCTAAGATGACCCTTTCCACCATTTTTCTGCGGATAGACATTTAAGTTACCTGTGGGTTTTCTTTTACAAACAGTATTTTCACCGAACCATCACTCACATGTGTAATTATGAGCGTGTGTCATTTGCTCTAGCTTGAGGGCCGAGCAGCACAGGGCAGGCAGCACAGGACTGCTGCAACTCCTTCCAGGTATGCTTTATATACAATGTGCTCATCTCTTTCTCTATTCCCTCCTCTTCCTGACTCATGTAAGGCTTATGCCTCCAGAGAAGCATAAAGGTAATTTTAATTTTGTCAAGTTGCCTTAAAAAAAGATTGATGCTTTGACAGAGATAACATCCAACTAGAGATAGATTTAGAGAAACTGATATCTATGGAGGGTCATTCTTTGAATTTAGATCTTTTGTGGCCTTCAGTAGAGTTTTACAGTTTTCTTCACATAGATTTTCCAATTTTTCTAGAATAAAATTTGTTTCTATACACTGTACCTTCCTGGGGTGGGAGGGTGGGGCTGTTGTTCATGAAAGCATCCACTTTTCATTTTCATTTTCTCACTGACTCCTCTGGAGGGTCACGGTGGCCTTGCCTACCTGGCCTGCAGGTTCTCGATCTCAATGCTCTTCTCTCTCTCCATCTTGCACAAGAGCTCCTTCTGCTTCCGTGTCTCTTCCAGAACCATCTCACAAGCTCTCAGCTCTTGCTCCTTCAACTGCTCCTCAAGGGCATTGGCTCTGTGAAGGCCAAGGGAGGAGGTGAGACTTTCTGCCCTTCTACCAGGGGCTAGATGCTGCATCAGGACCCCGGAGAGCTGTCCTTCCTCGAGAGGGATAGGAAGGCTGTGAGACTTTCCTCCCACAGCTCTAGAGTGAAGGGCAGTCTGAAGTAGGAGGTGCCCCACCTCCAGTCTCTGCTCCCCCCTACACTAAGAATGGCATGTGGACCGGAGACACCCTGATGGGCACAAGCCCCTGAGCGCCCCTTGCAATGACACTCCAGGATCAGGTGTACAAACCAGCCCCACTCAGTTCATCAGCAGAGGTAAGGGTTCAACAAGAACACATGAACAAAGGGAATAGTCACATGGGGACCATGGCCCTGGCCCTTTCCCAGACCATTATGCCCAACCACAGAGGCAGGAACTGACCATCCCAAAGAGAAGGGCTCCAGGCCCTGCCCATGGATGGCATGGAGCCCATAAGCTGTCCCTGCACACAGGGCTTCTCATCTGCTTCTTGGTGCCTCACACCTAAGAGTAAATGGATGGCCAAAGATCACCAGCTACCACAGGAAAGCTTTTCACATAGAGTGGCCAAAGCAAACAATAAAAGGACCTCAAAGGAAATGCACACCATGCAGGCAATAGGAGGAAAAGCCTTGTGACTAACAGAGCTAAGATACCACATCCACAAAACAGAGGTGATGTCCCTGAAGGAACAGATGGCAAAAAGTAACTTAGAAATTAAAAATATGAGGAACATTGCCCTAGCTGGTTTGGCTCAGTGGATAGAGTGTCAGCCTGCGGACTGAAGGGTTCCGGGTTTGAGTCTGGTCAAGGGCACATGCCTGGGTTATGGGCCCCATCCCCAGTAGGGGATGTGCAGGAGGCAGCCTATCAATGATTCTCTCTCATCATTGATGTTTTTATCTCTCTCCTCTCTCCCTTCCTCTCTAAAATCAATACAAATATATTTTAAAAAATATGAGAAACATTTTAAATTAATAGAAGAGTTGAAGAAGAAAACCAAGGATATTACATAGAGGGGGAAAAAAGAATAGGAAAGTCAAGGATATGAAAGGAAAGGTCTAGAAGGTCTAATATTTGAGGAATAGAAGTTCAGGTAGATAAGAAAATGTAAGACACTGGAGAAATTCTAGAAATCTTCCTGAAGCTGAGGGCACACTTTCCAGATTTAAGATTTGAAAACCACGAGCCCAGCACAGGTAACAATAGGAAGCCCTCATGTGTTGAGGATGAGAACAGGGCTACACAGCGGTGCCAGGCATCCCACCCACAGTTTGGGTTGGAGGTAGCAGGGCCATCAAGTTCTCAGGGAACCTACTTCCAAGTAGAATCCCAGCTGCAGCCTCACTGTCAGTGGAGGGTGAAACACAGTCTCAGACATGCAAGGTCTCAAAGAACCTGTTCCTATGCACCCTTTCCGAGGCAGCAATGGGTGATATCCTCATAATATGAAGAAAAATGGGGAATCCAGAAAATAAAGAACCAAATGCAGAGGAAGCATGTGGAATTCCTGGGATGGTGGCAGGAGAGCTGTGCCGCAGGGCTGGTGTGGGCTGACAATGTTACACATGGGAACACCAAGAAACTGCAGCAGAAGCACGCTGTTTAGGAGAACTGGGGCCAACACGAGAAGAAACATCCGCAGGAACTGGGGCAGGCCCTCCTGTGAAAACCCCAAGAGAGGGTCTCGACTGCACAAGAGAACTCGTTTTAACTTCATTAAAGTGATGTAGCCCTGGTTGGTGTGGCTAAGTGGTAAGAGTATTGGTTTGTGCACCAGAGGGTCATGGGTTCAATTCCCAGTCAAGGGCACGGCACATACCTGGGTTATAGGTTCGAGCCCCGGGCATGCAGGAAGCAACCAATCAATGTGTCTCTCTCACATTGGTGTTATTTTCTCTCTTTCCCCCTCTCTCCCTCCCTTCCACTCTCTCTAAAAAGCAATGGAACAATATCCTTGGGTGAGGATCAAAAGAAAATAAAGTGATGTATCAGTAGCATCCAGGATGAAAACATTACAACAGGAACCAAGCATAACCCTGATGCCTATGATGAGCATGCCATGAGAGTGTGTGTGGGCCTATGTTCCATGCTATTAAAAGCACTCGGAGTCCACTTGTTCAGGTCATGGGTGCGAAAACAAGCCTTCGAAGACAGGGCTCTTCTTGCCTGCAGTCACAGAGTGTGAGGCAGCCCGCTTGTGTAGACCCCCCACACACCATGCTCCCCGCCTCTCAGGCCCCTCAGGACTCCCCCCTGCCCGGCTACCACACCAGATGCACTGAGGCAGCACACCTGGCAGCTGATGCTTCTGGGCCAAGCTCCTCATGCTCTGCACGAGAAGCACGTTGCTGCAAACAGCATGAGGTTACACAGAATGACGAGTTTCAAGACACTGAAACTCACACAGGATTCTATAAAAAGTCTGCACAGCAGGAGCGGGGAAGTAACCTCCGCCTCCTCCATGCTCACAGTGGCTCCTCCCCAGTTCACACGTCTGCTATTTCCTCCTTGTGCTCTCACTATCAGAATCAGACTGTGCATCCCACCATGCACCCAGCGGTTCCTACTCGTTTCTTGTTTCTGTGGCTAAGTATCTGTGAGGACCTGCATGTCCCAAGGACAGGTCATGCTTCCAATGCAAAGGGCTCTGAAGGCACTGGCTCCCACTCCCAAAGCCCCCCCTTGCTGTCTGAGGCCCTGGCAATCATGTAATCTCCCTGAGCCTTGGTTTCCTCATCTGTGAAATGGGGACAGTGGTATCTGCCTCACAGGGATTGTAAAGATGAAACCAGATCATGTGAGAGAAGTGAGCAAATCACAGCAACTCTCACAGCCAAGGAGCCCAAGCCCAGGAACGGCCTGTGGTTAATACTATTCCCCGGGATGGGCTCTCAGAGAGGGGACACCAGCCAGAGGCCTCACATTGGAACCCCGGTATGCCTCCTCTCGCCTTGTGGCCTCTGCCACCCCTGAGATCAGGCTCCCTCCACCAGGCACTCTGTGCAGGCAGTGTGGGTGCTGGCCTCACTGCTCCTGAGGGAGGGGTGAGGCGGTGCCCTCTCCACACTCTTTGCTCTGAGGCCCTAAATGGGTAGAAGACAGTACTAAGTTGAAGCCACGCTCAAAAGGCAACCCCGCACCATCCCCTGGGCTGGCTCCCAGCAGCAGGATGGAGGGCAGCTGCAGGTGGGAGCCAACCTCTGCGCAGCAGCCATGCTCACCTGTGCACCAGCTGGAGATTTTCCTGCCTCAGTCGGCTGTGTTGCTCCCCATTGGCAGCAGTGTCCTTCTCCAGCTCTGACACCCGCTTCTCCAAGAAGACAACCTTGGTAGCAAGACAGTGTTTATTCGGCTCCAGTGGGTCTATCTTGTTCATGGAGACTATCCCCATAAAAGAGGTAGTATGGCCCCCACAGGCGTCAATATGGACGGGGAACACGCCATGGCCTCAAAACTACAGGTGCAGATGTCAGCAGGTGGCCCGGAGGTGCCACAACAGTGCCTTTGTGATGAATCTGTGATGGCTGTGGGGCACCTGCTCTCTGCCAGACCCAGCGGCCTCAAAACTACAGGTGCAGATGTCAGCAGGTGGCCTGGAGGTGCCACAACAGTGCCTTTGTGATGGATCTGTGATGGCTTGTGGGGCGCCTGCTCTCTGCCAGACCCAGTCCATGGAGACAGCACATGGCAGGGGACTCAAGGAAGAGAAAGGCCCCAGGATTTGGTACCTCCCTTCTCAGGGAGCTCACTAACAAGATAGGAGACAGATACCTACATAGGTGATAAACAGAGGGAGACCTGCAAAGTAGATATTGTAGGTGCTATAGAGAGGAGGTGAGGGGAGACAGGAAAGGGTACAGGAAGAGATGAGGGAGGACAGGAGGAGGTGAAGAGGGGCGACAGGATGGGGTGAGGGTACAGAATGGGGTGAAGGGTATAGAAGGAGGTGAGGGGGGACAGAAAGAGGTGAGAGGTGTGTGCTGCCACTTTCCTCTTCCCCTCTTTCTGAAGCTGGTCCTTGTGAAGTATGGGGCTGTTACCATAGATGGCCTGTCCCCACATAACCCATTTACCAGGCTTCTCTCAGGGAACAGCCCATTCTACACATTGTTTGATGGGGTGAGTGCCCTCATCCCCAAAACCTCCAGTGCCCCCAAATCCTGCCTCCATGGGCCCTGGTGAGCTGGGTCTCTGAGTCAGTGCACCCTGAGCTGACAGATACAAATATGGGCTGATAGCCACTGGCGCTCACTGTTCTGTTCCCATGGTCGCAGTCCCCTCTACCTTGTATGTGAAATGCTAGAGACCGGCAGGGCTGGCAGAGGATCTAATTAATTAGCCCTTGTGGTGCTGTCACTACTCCTGATGTGCTCTATCTGCTTGCCAGGATGAGGCCTGGTCCCCAAATGCACCTCAACAAATACACCCCAATGTGGGCCCACACCCCGAGCACAAGTCCTGAGACTGGGACCGTGTTGTCCACAGGTGGTCCTCTGGTCTCCCGATCCAGGGCCTACCTTGTCCGCAATGTCTTCTTCCATGCCCTCCAAAGGGTCTGGGGGAGGGTCCTGCAGGGCTTCCATGGTCAGAGCCCCTGACTGAAGCAGGTGTCTGTGGAGAAGAAACAACAGCCCAGTCCAGAGAAGGTCTTTCACCAGAACAAAGACAGAAAAGAAGACGGGAGAGACCAATCCAAGTTCTTCAAACATGAGCATTTCTAGGTCAGTCTGAAAAGCAAATCCCAGCAGCCTGGGACCCAAGTGTCCGCCGAAGGGAGTTCTGGGCAGGACGCTATTACCGAGGGGCTAGAGTAAGCCAGCTGTACTCTGTGTCCAAAGAGTCCTCCTGCTGCTCTTTGGAGCCTGATAAGCCCAGCCTTCTCCCACCAGCTGATGGGGCAAGGGTACTTTGTACTTGGGTAATAAAATAAGACGCGGTTCCTCCCTGAGATACGATATAATCTCATCTTCCACTGTGGCCCATGAAATACTAATTCGGGATCATGACTTCTGCACACAACGTCACCTACATGCATCTTGATATCTGATTTTTCAAATGTACTCCCAATAGCAGCAATAGTGAGAGACTGGGGGGGAGGGCTGTCTTTCTGGGAAAGGCATACAGGCACGATGCCCCCTGCCAGAGCAGGTCCAAGCACTTAGCACCAGTGGGCACAGGTCTCCAGCCATGTGGGCCATGCTGGGTGGCGTGCAACCTAGGACATAGGTGAGCACAAGCCCCGGCTGTCCTGTGGAAACCCCTGGGGCTCCACACACTTGAAGCTCCTTGCTTCAGTCCTCAGCCATTGGCACCTTAGCAGGTACTCAGCAAATACATGTTCACTCACCTTGGAGCTAATCTTATTAATTGTAGTGATACTATATCAGCTGTTATTTACCTGGTGCATGTAAAACTCTCAGAGCATTTGGACAGAGTCTGCATATACTGACCCAGGTTCCAAGTTGACAGTCTGATACTCAGAGCTGTATGACTTTGAAAAAGCTACTCACCCTCTCTGAAACCTATTCTCCTATAAAATGGGGATCTGCAGGCTATTATTTAAATTAGGTTTTATATTTATAAACAGCTCCGATAAGGACATAGCACAGGGTAAGGATTCAATAAAATACTATTAAAATCACATTGAAATTTCCTACATTATCTTTATAAAAGGTATCACCTTCTATTTCCTTTTTAGTGCTGACTTAGCTTGTACATTTCTTAAAATTTTTTTGACTCCAGAAATGTTCTAAGGGGAACAAAAAAGAAGGGAATCTTCATCCCTGGGGACCACGAGTCCCTTAAATGTGTCCTTGGTGAGACATAGGAGCACCTCTTGGATTTCATCTGATTTCCTGAAGGGCACTGAACCCTAAGGGCAGGGCCACCATGTTCTTGTCCAATTGATGTTCTCAAACACCAATGACTTTGACCCCAAACACAAGCTCCTGATGCCAATCCTGGGATAGAAAGCTGCCCACCCCAGACCCAGAGACCATGCTGAGGAGGGGCTATAGCCTAGGGCCTGTCCCACAATCCTGAGCTCCTACTAGGGGCTCACGGCACTTCTGAACAGCTGAACCTGGGAATGGGCGGTTGTACCCAGTCCCCAAGCACCCAGCGTGTGGCCCCAGCATGTAGCTGCCTCAGGGAAAGGCCAAGGTTTCTTGGCACTGTGGGTGAGGGTCTTGTTTATTTAAACCCACCCCTACTTAGGAGGCCTACCCGGAGAGGGGACTATGGGAAATGCCTGATCATCCCAAAGGGAGGCAGGTGAAGTCCGGCAGGTGCCAGGACACTCGTGTCAAGATCTGCTTTCTGCTCTGGGCAGTCCCACTGGCGCTCCCTCTGGTCCTGAGGCTGGCTGTGTGCCAGTGCGGTTCTCGCTGGCACACCAACCCCAGAGCCCTTTCCATCCATGTTAGATACAAGTCAGGTCACAGAGGCCAGAGCTGGTGGCTCCAAAGCCCATACTCCAGCCACACTGCCACATGCAAAGGGCTAAACACTGTGAAGAGTGAAATTACAACAGTTATTTTGAGTTTTCTTAAAATTCTGGTGGTGGTATTGAGGGCAAAACAGCAGCAGATTAAAATTGCATCTGCAAGGTATGTTTGTACCGACCACAAAATATGCCTCTGTAAACTCTAACTGCACATTCCTGCAGATTGGGCTTTTCTATACCAAAGGGTATCTGTGAAGGAAAAATTAAGTTCTCAGAGGGTGTTTCATGGAGGGAGCAGACACAAAGCCCAACCGTCGAGGCAGCTTGGGCCCTCAACAACCCCAGGGGCCCTCAGTGTCCCAGATGTGGGAGGCTGAGAGGGGATGACTCAGATTTTCACCTTCCTTAGTTTCACCAGCTGTAGCCTATTTGGGGTAAAATATGAAAGTGATGTTAAAACTGTAATAAAGTGGGGTTTGGAATTAATATTATACCCCTAAGAGCTTGGATGCTTTTCTGAAAGGGGTGATGTGAGAAAACAAATGGAGAAGGTGAATTGATGATATGCAGCTATGCTTGCTCTGGATCCTAAGCCCTCAAGATGATAGAGGAGAAAAAACCACACACAAAACGTTTACATGCCCAAGGACAAGGAGAACAGAAGAGAAAATGGCACCAGGAAAGAGATGTCCAGTGGTTAGAGCGCTGGCCCACGCACCAGAGGGTCGCAGGTTGGATTCCCAGTCAAGGGCACATACCAGGGTTGCAGGTTTGGTGAGGGTGCGTGCGGGACGCAACCAATCAATGTCTCTCTCTCCCACTGATGTTTTTCTCTCTCTCCCTCCCTCCCTCCCTCCCTTCCTTCCACTCTCTCTAACAATCAGTGGAAAAAAGAGCGACAAATGTCCTGGGCACGGGAGGGCAGAGGAGGGCCGCAGTGAGCCAGTGAGACACTGGAGCCAGCGCTTCCTCTGGAAAGCCCAGGAAGGACTGGCACCTGAGAACAGGGCAGTAGAGATGAGCACAGAGGATGGGAGGGGCAGCACCCACTGCACCCTTGAAAAGGACTGTCCTAGACCAGGAGCAGCCCTGGACTCAGGACACATGGCTTACAAACAGAATGCACCCCCAGTCTGTAGACTACACGGTGGGTCCAGCTCAGCTCCCCAAACGCTGGCAGCTGGCAGCCAGGCAGAACTCACTCTGGGGAAATTGGCCAGCCTGGCTGGAGAAAAGACCTATGACACAGGGGTCTGCCCACACCACATGCTGGCCAGCTGTGAGCAACCACTTCAATACGCACAGAGAGGGTACCCCCAGTTGTTGGAGAGAGGCCTCTAACAAGAATGGCAGAGCCCAGATGAGATGGGGAGGAAGAGCTGGTGGCATGGGGGTCATAGGAGATAACACCAGAGTAGAGAGAGGCATAGAGGGAGCAGGATGAAGGCATGTGAAGCCACAAGCAGGAGTCCTAGAAAAAGCAGAAAGTGGAACAGAGAACACTGTCAAAGAAACAGGCTGACAAAGCTCCCCAAAACTAAGGGACAGAAGCTTCCACAATCAAACGACACAACTTTCATTCAGCCCAGCATAATTAAGGGGAATAAGAACTCACAGGATGGATCCCTACCAGGATAAAGAAAACATCTTAAAAGCTCCCAGAGAGGGAAAATGAGAAAGCATTAGATCTCTCAGCAGCAGCAGTCCTAGTACCAGAAGGTAATGAGCAACGCCTTAAAACACTCTAAAGGGAAATCATTTACAATCCAGATTTCTAGACGAAGCCAAACTATAAGAGTAAAACATCTAGCAAGGTCTCAACATTTATCTCCTGGTGGGGGTTGGGGGAGGGGACTTATCTCCTGGTTACCTCTTTTTCCAACAAGCTACAAGAATATATGCTGGACAAAAAATGGAGATTAGAAAAAAGGAAGACAGATTATCAGGGAGTGAAATGACCCAACACCTGAAACAAATATCTGGATCCCACAATGTGTGTGGGGGAAACAGGACCACAGCAATGCAGCCTGCACACACCTGTGCAAAGGGCAGAGGCTCTGGGGGGGAATGGCCAATAGGCCCAGGGCTGCCGCGTGGCCCTGTGAGAGGGCTGGGCAGAGCGGCACAGAAGATGACACAAGGGCTGGGTAGAGGTGGGCTGAGAGGTGCAGTGGGGAATGGGAACATCTTTTTAAGTGTCAACAATAAAAATAAAACCTAGCCCTAACCGGTTTGGCTCAGTGGATAGAGCGTCGGCCTGCGGACTGAAGGGTCCCAGGTTCGATTCCAGTCAAGGGCATGTACCTTGGTTGCGGGCACATCCCCAGCAGGGGGTGTGCAGGAGGCAGCTGATTGATGTTTCTAACTCTCTATCCCTCTCTCTTCCTCTCTGTAAAAAATCAATAAAATATATTTTAAAAAAATAAAAACCTAACCAATGGACACAGACACCGGGGGAGTGAGAACATGAGTGGGGGAGTGGGGGGACAATAGGGGGATAAGGACACATATGTAATACCTTAATCAATAAAGAGAAAACAAATAATTAAAAATGAAATTAAATTTAAAAAGAGTTGAGAAAACACAGAATAAATATTACTTTAAAAAGATGAAGCAAATAAAAACATGAAGACAATCACTGACTCCAGGAGAAACAATGACTTGTCTTAAAAAGGAAATATAGTACACGGTTCCTATAGAGAATGCTGGCACCTTATAAACTCTGTGAAAATTGCTTTTAGAACTAGCATAGTAGGGGAGAGGATAAATGTATGTGCTGTCATCTTTCACTGTAGGAAGCCAATAAACAGTATCCAAAACTGAAGAATGAAGAAATGATCACAGAAGAATGTTCTTTAGAAACCCAGAGTTAGGCACTTCTCCTTCCTCTTCTAACCCTGGGGAACCAGTGGAGGTGCAAAAGGCAGATCCAGACCTGGACTCCATCATGTTCTGGCTCTGTGAAATCAGGTCCCTCACAGACTCTCTCTACAGCAGACATGGAGATATGGGCCCCCTACTGGACCTTGTTGGTGAATACGCAATAAAACAGAAGGGATGTCAAACACTTTCAACATAAACTTCCTGGTCACAAATTCAGGTCCAAATCTACAGCTTTGAAAATTCTTCTGACAATCCATCCCCTTGAATTATTTTTAATCTCAAACCATGAGAAGCAACTTTCAAAAGTTTAAAAAATAATACGTTGGAAAACAGTATTTTCTAAACATGTTTTTGAAAAGAGCTATAATTAGTGATACATTTCAGAAGAACATCTCAATAAGTAACCAATGGTTTCCTACCTTGCCACCTTCTTGCTGGAGAGCCGCTTCGTTGGACTGTGCAAAATCAAAATAAACAGGAAAATCGTGTCAGAGAACAGACAGGGAGGAACGGGAGGAAACAGGAAATTCGGGCTGAAGAGATATGGGGATGGGGGTGCGTCCATAGGCATGCAGCACCGTGCTTGCCAGGCCAGCTCCATGCACAGAAAGGCCCACTCAGCAAAACATTCAGGAACATGGGCGCAATCACAGGGGCTTGTCAAGGACTCAGCAAACTGTTATTATTTCACACCCCAAAGAAACTTCCAATAGAGCCACAATCAGACCTCAGTCAGAGGCTGACCCCGTGTCTACACCCTCCAGCTGGTTGCACTGGGTCCAAGTCATTGGCCAATGCCACATCCCAAATGCTTTTGAAGCCAATTACCCTCCAAACAGTGGGCCCCCACATGAAACATGACATGGGCCTGTTTGTAACATAAAGTGTTGTCATCGGTTTTAACTTAGGCACTAATACTTCACACTCCAAAATCCCCCCTGGGCAACTTCCCTGGTGCCAGCACCCAGCAGCTCCCAGTGCCCAGCAGCTTCCCCTGACACATCCTATGGCAGCTTTGTAGCAAAATACTTTTGGTGAGACTCCTCCCAATGAATAGCTTTCCTGGCAGCCAGAGAGCAGATTTCCAGCAAGTTCTAGATGGTAGATCTCAAGTCACATCCCCACCGCCTCTCATAGCCCCCTCATCCATGAGGCACCACAGTGACATACTTGCCACCCAGTTTGCCATGGTTACACCTTCTATAGCAGGGTCGGATCTCAGCCCTGGGTGAGCTGGGTGGGCTGGCTGTTTTGTATAGATGCTATTCCTACATTCCTCCAAGTTCTCTCTACTCTTACTAGCTGACCCCTTGTTATAGTTAGCCATAACTTAACCAACCTCTCAGGGAGTAGACTGGCAGTCCAGTGACTGGGTTTATAATGTGAAAATATGCCTCTGGGTAAAGCAGACATCTACAACATTTTTGTAAAATTAATTGTTTTTACGAGGGTCCCAGGTACCTGGAAAACATGATAGCTATCAGCATCTTCTGAAGCTCACAGAGTAGAAATTATATCTGACGTTAAAGCATCCAGATACAGTTTGGATTAAAATCACCTTTTATCTTCCACAAACCATGACCAAATACATTCATTTTGAGGCAATTCCATGGACACCAACAGGCAAGATTCAGATATCTTTAACTGAGTGTTTACGGGGAAATGACTGACAGCTGTGTCCTGATCATAGTAATAACTTTAATGATATATTAACCAACCTGGTAGAGCCTTTCTTAGGGAATGGGTGGCTGAAACTGGAGGTGAGATCCCACTAGACTTGCTGGCCGTACTAGCCACGTCCCAGTCTATTATCTGCCCCCACAAAGCCTAGCAGAGGTGACCATGTCAGTCCTGGGACAGATTCTCCATATGGGAAAAGATCATTTCTATGTCAAAAATCTTCAGAGAATAAGAGATGACATACCTGTACTAGAACCTACTTAACAGGAAGGCAAGTCTTCACATGGAAAGGATAAATGACCCCACACCAGAGCACCCACGTAAAACAGAGGTTAAACTGTCTTTCCCTAAAACAGAGGCCACTGGATCTTTGGGATCACAAGACACCACATTTTTTAAGTCTCCCTGGAAGGCACCCCTCAAAGAACACTTCCAGTTTCTCATCAGTGCTGCTGGGAATCCACCAGGCTCCCTTCTGAAGCTGCCAATGGGCCACAAATGTGGGGGCCCACCTAATCGGCATGTGCTGGACTCCAGCCTGTGTTGGCATGTTGCACAGAACATAAGAAAAAGTGTCAAACATGTAAAACGCACTGGAATTGGAACTAGAGGCAGAACAGCAGGTACAACAGGACCAAGGTCATGAGGACCCACCAGAAAGACCGAGTTGGCCTTGGCTGAGGCCCCAAAGGGGAAGGCTCCTCAAGATATGTAAGAGGTTTTTAGAAGACTACTCTAAACACACTGAAGCCATCAGGATAGTTCAAATTTCTGCCAATTTTTATGTAACCTTCCACCCCTTCTTCCAAGAAGCCTCCCTGGATTATTGCCTGGGAGCCCACAGTCCTGATCAGCACATACCAAGTGGCCCACCCAGGGGTTTGCCCATATGACCAGCTAAATCAACAATATGCTTAATGAGCATGTCAATATATGCAAACTATCCAAAAATGTGTTCTATAACTGGAGCTTGTGAAGTTGTGAGAAGCCAGCAAAAGGAACTGCTGAAACTCTGAAACTCTGACTTGAGCTGGGATTGGGTATTGGGGATGAAAAGGGAAGCAAATAGCCTGACATAAACTGGACCCAGGAGATGGAGGAGAGAGAACAGACGGATGAGGGCAGAGAGCAGCAAAACATGCTGGGGTCCTGTTTTAAAAAAAGGGTAGCCAAGCTGGATTCTTCTTGAAACGGCGCCTGAGGCAGCCTTACGAAAGCAAGTTCAGTATAGGGGCTCACCTAGAGAATGCGTACCTGATTTAAAACAACATCCTGAAAGCTGACTGCAAATCTGTTTTGAAAGACCAAATCTTACTTTAACTTTCCCATGTTGTTTCATGTGACTCCCAATTAAAGAAATCTTTTAGTAAAATGAAGAAAGTAGCTCTTTCTAAGAACAGACTTTCATGAGTTGGACTTCCTTACGCAGGATACATAGCATCTAAGATCGTCTCCTCCCTCGTTTCCTCCCGAAGGGAAAGAAGCAGCTGATTAGACTGCGGCATGCACACAGGAGCAAGTAGGGTGAAGGGCACCAAACAGGCTCAACGCATGCAGGGAGGGAGAGGCGGGGCTAGGGAAGAGTCCGCCGTCTGCATGCTCACCTTCACGAGGAAGTCCCCCCACCCCCGAAGTGGGCTAGCCCAAGTGAGTGGCACCTGGGGCCAGACCAGCCAGGGGCAGCTGTGGACAAGAGTCCCCTCACCCTGGAACACAGAGCAGGGCCAGGCACTACATCAGTTACCTATTCTTTTCAAGATCATTCAGGCGAGCGGAAAGATCTTCTAGGCGGTTGATTTGTTTATGGCACTGGCTACAGTAAAACTCAAAGGCCTCATCAGTGAGGATGCTGTGCAGCTTTGTGGCAAGCGGGTCGGCGCTAGAGAGACAAGAAGTGTCAGTTCAGGAAACAGCCAGGACTGTTCAGGTTACCCGTGACTCCACACAGGGCTAGAGTTGGCCAGGCAAAAGCATATTGTCAGGTAACTGGCGGTGGAAGATTGACTCTTAACTTTCAGACTGCTGTAAACCCACCTCCCTCAACGTCACCTATGACCCATGACATACACCCGCTTAAGTTGCAGGGGGCTCAGCCACACACCTGCTCCTTCCTGGTCAGATGCTCAGAGGAAACAAAGTGGCCCATCAAGTACCCTTAACAAGAAGTAAGTGCCTGGACACACTGCTTCCTCCTTGGTTAAGCACTCATCAATGTGAGCGCAAAGCATGTCTCCAGGTGCAGTTTTACTCACTATACTATAACTGCTTTAATAGGCTCCTAAAATCACCAATATCAGCCCTGGTCGGTATGGCTGTGGTTAGAGTGTCGGCCCACGCACCAAAGGGTCTTGGGTTCGATTCCCGGTCAAGGGCACGTACCTGGGTTGCAGGTTCGCCCCCTACCCCTTGTTGGGGCACCTGCAGGAGGTAACCAGTTTATGTGTTTCTCTCATACCAATGTTTCTTTCTTCTCCTCTCCTTCTCCCTCTCCCTCTCCCTCTCCCCGTCCCTTCCACTCTCTCTAAGAAGCAATAAAAAGCCCGGCTGGTGTTGCTCAGTGATTGAGTATCAACCCATGCACCGAGAGGTCACCGGTTCAATTCCTGATCAGGGAACATGCTCTGGTTTTCGGCTCAACCCCAGTATGGGCTGTGCAGGAGACAGCTGAATAATGTTTCTCTCTCATCGATGTTTCTTTCTCATTGATGTTTCTCTCTCTCTCCCTTTCCCTTCCTCTCTCAAAAAAATCAATAAAAACATACTTTTAAACAAACAAAAAACCCCACCAATATTAAAGACTACACATGAATTATGAATCACCAACAATTCTGTTATTTTTTAAGACCTTTGTTAAAAAGTCAGAATTCTATTAGCCTCCCTGGGCTTTCAGGGCACTGGTGATGCACTGGCCAGAAGGCAGCAATGTCCCTGGGGCATGAGGACCCACAGGCTTTTAAAAGCCAATTTGAGCCCTGGCCACGTGACTCAGTTGGTTGGAGCATCGGCCCATACACCAAAAGGGTTGCAGGTTCGATTCCTGGTCAGGGCACATACCTAGATTTTGGGTTCAATCCCTGGTTGGGTTATGTATGGGAGGCAACTGATTGATGTTTCTCTCTTACATTGATGTCTCTCTCTCTCTCTCTCTCTCTCTCTTCTCAAATCAATAAATATATCCTTGAGTGAGGATTTAAAAAAAATTTTTAAGCCAATTTGGAAGTTCGATTTGAAGAAAGGTTAAAGTGGCCCTGGCTGATTTGGTTCAGTGTATAGAGAGAGTGTTGGCCTGCGGACTGAAGGGTCCTGGGCTCGATTCCGGTGAAGGGCACATGCCCAGGTTACAGGCTCGATCCCCAGTAGGGGGTATGCAGGAGGTAGCCAATCAATGATTCTCCCTCATCATTGATGTTTCTATCTCTCTCTCCTCTCCCGTCTTCTCTGAAACAAATAAACATATTTTTTAAAAAGAACGTTTAAAGTGAAACATCAATTGTAGCACAGAAGTCACACTTGAGACAAAAATCAGTGAGACACTGGACAAGAGACAGGGACAAACTAAACAAATAGGAAGAGATTACCAAAACAGGACAGAAACGCACACTTAGCAATGCCAAGTCCTTTGGCCTTGACTTTAACACCAACACAAGTGCATATGGGAAGAGGAGAGCTACTGAAAGGAAGCTACCACTTCACTCACTCACACTCCTAGAGATGCCTTTGAAAGGCTCCTATTCCTACGGTGGTGGGCAGCTTAGGGGATAGTACATGGAGAAAGCAAGGGGGGACCCTGTCAGGCAGACCCTCCTGGCACTGGCCCCCACCCAGGTCTTCTAGGTGTGGGTTACAGTCTGGGCAAAGGAAGAATCTTGCAACTGATGGTTTCAAGATACTCGGCCTTTGCTGTCAGCAAAGATGGAGAATTTCAAGAACCGGGTGCAAAGGAGAGAGGTGACTGAAGTGCAGTCTGTTCAGCCAGGCAGGGATCTCACCTGAAGAGAAGACATGTTCTCTGATGTGCCGCCACCAGTGAAGGCGGCCAGGCCCACAGGACAAAGCACATTTAGACCCCTTGTTTGGATACAAGTGCTGGCTTTTTCCCAGGACCTCCCGAGAGGAAGGACAGCTGGGGAGTAGCCAGCTCCATAAGCATGGATCTCACCTTTTAGATATTTCAGTGCAAAGCCAGAACTTTCCAGACAGTTTGGGGATGTCAGATAATTATAAGGAAATGAATCAAAGAATTGTTTGTGATGTTCAAGGCTTCCCTCAGAGGCTGGTCAAAGGGTACATATTTTTAGCTGCAAGAGGAATAAGGCTGAGGATCTAATGTAAAACAGAGAGCAGAACTTACATGCTCTCTTATACATACATGCACACATTCATATAGCTTCCCTCAAAGCCAGCTACCAACCATAATGAGATCACAACTAGTGGCTAAGGAACCCACAAAGCCGAGTGTCCCAACACAGGTTCTGTGCCACGTGGTTCAGCTGAAGCCTCATAAATGTGGAGCAATCTGGGAATATAAGTGGATGAGAAAAACTTCAGCTAACTTTCACTGAGGCATAAAAATAAAATTTTGACTGTGTATGTTAGTTATATTACAATGAATAAAACAAGTTCTCTCTTACCAATTTATGAACCAAAAGGGGAAACTTCCCCACAACTAAATATGGGGTGAGCGGGAGGAGGACACGTGCGCCAGTGCAGGGATGCATTACCTGGGGGTGAGAAAAGTAGGGTCTCTGCAGCCGTGCTCCCCATTGCAGAGGGTCTCTGGGGACAGTTCTGCCTCACTGCCCTCACCATAGTCCTCAAAATGCTCCTCATCACCTATCACCGTGACGACAGACTGGCTGTGCAGGTGGGATCTGAAAAGGCAAAACAGAAAAGACACATTGTGCTCAGGGCCATGACAGCCCTAGAACTGAAGGTGTGATGAGCGCTTTCCAGCAGAAATGAGTTCAAATGTTCTAGTAGGCACCTCATGGGACCAAGGCGACCCCTGCACAGGAGGAAGGAGGAATCTTTTCAAAATAAGGCTGAGTCGTTTGGATATCAATACCTCACATCATACACAAAAAAGAGAGATAACAGATCTGTAAGAAATGGACCTCTGTGATCCATTCCAGCATGGTCGGCTTCTGATGGAATTTGCTGAATTTCCCCAGGGCAGGAGAATGTGGGGAGGAGGGAAGAGGATGTAGGAACAAAGAACTGCATGTGGGCCAGCATTATGGTGGAAACCCCTCCAGGGGTCTGCCTCAGCTAGACAGGGGAGGTGGAGTCAGCTAGAAAGGCCTTAGCCCAATTTTTTTAAATGGCCCAATGGGAGACAGCAAGACCTAGGTGACATATGAGGAAACAGGTGACCTCATAGTACTCAGCCAATGAGGAACCGGAGGAGGGACTAAATAAATAAGCTGTGCCCTAGTCGGTTTGGCTCAGTGGATAGTGGATAGAGAATCGGCCTGTGGACTGAAGGGTCCCAGGTTCGATTCCAACCAAGGGCACATGCTGGGGTTGCGGGCTCAATCCCCAGTAGGGGGCATGCAGGAGGTAGCTGATCAATGACTATCTCTCATCATTGATGTTTCTATCTCTCCCTCTCCCTTTCTCTCTGAAATCAATAAAAATATATTTTAAAAATAATAAATAAATAAATAAATAAGCTGTGTTCCCTGTTCCATGTGTGAGCCTATACAATGGATGCCCACTCTCAAGCGTGTATTAAAGGTCTCATTTTCTCCATACCTCCGTTTCCGAGTCCATCATTTGAAATTCAGACAGGTGAGCTATTTCTCACAAGATCTGAATATGAAGGCAAAATAATAGGCTTTTAAAGAGCAGCAGAATGCTGAAACCGGTTTGGCTCAGTGGATAGAGCGTCGGCCTGTGGACTGAAAGGTCCCGGGTTCGATTCCGGTCAAGGGCATGTACCTGGGTTGCGGGCGCATCCCCAGTGGGGGGTGTGCAGGAGGCAGCTGATCGATGTTTCTCTCTCATCGATGTTTCTAACTCTCTATCTCTCTCCCTTCCTCTCTGTAAAAAATCAATAAAATATATTTAAAAAAAAAATAAATAAAGAGCAGCAGAAGTAAACATTATAGTGATGTGGAGGTAAGCAAAAATTTCTCAAACAGAACACAGAAGTGCTAACTACAAAAGAAAAACAGATAAACTGGACTATATAGCAAATTAAAAACATCTGTTCCTCAAAGACACCACCAAGAAACTGAAAAGGCAACCTTCAAAGTAGAAAAAAGATATCTGTGAGACTCTCTACAGAACACACCAGTGTCTTTCCCCACCCCCTGCTTTCCCCAGGGTGAGCTCATCGCCCACCCGGCCCCCAGCACGCTAGAGCCTCTCTTCCCTCTTTCCTCTCTCAAGTCCATCTCTGTCTCTCCTAAGCTCCAGGGGCCATTCTTTTGCTGTAACTTGTTTCCTGAGCCCATTTCTTCTAGGGCTCACTTCTACCTCTGTGACTTTCTAAATAAACTTTCTCTTATTAAAAAAAAAGAGATATCTGCAATCCACATACAGGATAAGGGACTCATCTAAAATATATGAAGAACTGCTACAAATCAGAAAGAAAAAGACAGACCCCAGGACCAACAGACGTTGAGAGACCAAATCCCACCTACTTATGTACCACTTTGCACTTCAACAGCACAGGTGAACAGCAGCCAGCAAGACTATAGGCCAAGCCAAAAAAAATTTTATTATCTGGCTTTTTACAGAAAATGTTTACAAAATGGGTAAAAGACATAAGACATGAAGAGCAACTTCACAAAAGAGGATCTCTAAATAGGCAATAAAGGCAAGAAAAGATACAAAAGGTGCTCATCCTCATGAGTCACCTGGGAAATTGTAGTAAGAACTATCCCACACCAACATTACACTCCATGCTCTCCAGAAAGCAAACATGAACAAAGCAGACCGTGCCAAGTGCTGCTGAGGACGGGGAGCAACCAGAACCCACAGCACTGGCATGCTAACTACTATAAGCCCTGACTGTCACTATCAGTAAGTAACTAACTTCTAAAGCTGAACATGTGTGCTCCAGATGCACCACTAAGACATGTAATGTTTACAGCAGCTTTAGTCATAAAACCAAAGTACATATCAACAGTAAATTAAAAAGCTGCAGCATATTCATACAATGTAATGTTCTACTAATAAAGTAAATGATTTACAACTGTGCACAAAAATATGAATAAATCTCATAACTACAACATGAAAGGAAAGAAGTCAGGTGTAAAAGATATTTTAATCTTAAGGTACAAAACCAGGGAGAGTGATACTGCCATTAAAAAGCCAGGGTGGCCCTACCTGGTTTGGCTCAGTGGACACAGCATCGGCCTGAGGACTGAAGGGTCCCAGGTTCAAATCTGGTCAAGGGCACATGCCCTAGTTGCAGGCTCGATCGTGCAGGAGGCAGCCGATCAATGATTCTCAGTCACCATTGATGTTTCTATCTCTCTATCTCTCCCTTTCCCTTCCTCTCTGAAATCAATAAAAATATATTTTTAAAAAACCAGGGTGGCCCTAGACAGTTTTCTCAGTGGGTAGAGTGGGTTTGATTCCAGTCAAGGGCACATACCTCGGTTGCAGCCTCAATCCGGACATGTGGGAGGCAACGTGTCTCCCATATCGATGTTTCTCTCTTTCTCTCCCCCTCCCTTCCACTCTCTCTAAAAATTAATGAAAAATATCCTGGGTGAGGATTAACAACAAAAAAGCCAGGGTGGCCCTGGCCAGTGTTGTTCAGTGGATAGAGCATAGGTCTGCACACCGAAGGACTGTGGGTTCCATTCCAGGTCAAGGGCTCATACCTGGGTTTGATCCCCGGCCCCAGGAGGGTTGCGTTTGAGAAGCAACCAATCGTTGTGTCTCTCTCACATCAACACATCAATGTTTCACTCTCTTTCTCTCTCTCCCTTCCTACCTCCCTTCCACACTATCAAAAATCAATGGAAAAATATCCTTGCGTGAGGATTAATAACAAAAAAAGCCAGGGCACCTCGGGGGGAGCAGGAAGGGTCTCCTAGGTGGCATGTCTGTACTATTATGACAGGTGCACTTGCATGTCATTATATAATACTTCAATTCAAGAGAAAAAATGAAAAACTCTATGAGGACCAAACAAAAAATGAAATAAAATAAGCTGAAAATAAAATAAGCTGAAAATAAAACTTAACCACTTCCAAGGGTGCTAAGCATGGTGGCTTCCTAAGTAGCAGAGGGCAAAACCATAAGCTGTCATTCAGGTCCACATGGGCCATGGGCACCTCTCCCACCCTCCCCCTTTCTCTCACTGGTCCTCAAATGCATTGAGGCACCAGGAGTGGTAGGGGGAAGTAGGGGGTCTGATTAGGGATGCCATAAAGACGAGGTTCTAAGATCCTGACAGAAGACATATAATGAATATTGTGTCTTGCCTGGTTTACAAGAATTGTGATGACAAAAATCCAAAAGACCAAGTTAATGTTTTCTCCTAGAATTTCTACTTCTGTGGCCAAAGAAGTTGTGCAGCATTTATAACCACTATAATCTGCTGTCACAGGAGGGGCATCTCCTGACAGGGAAGTCAGCTGTGACCAGGAGATGGCTCAGCCATTCTGCAGGGTCCACATTCTCTCCCACATCCTGTGATGATTCTAAACCACTCTGACACAAACCCCTATGTGAACCGAATCTGCCCATCAGACACATCTTATGCACAATGTCCAGACCATGCTGGGGTGGATTACAGACCTGCCTGGGAGCAGCAGCAGAGCACCATGGCCAGGCTCCTCCATGGCATCCAGGCACTCGGAGGGCATGGCTGAGCCGCCCGCACTATCCATGTCCCCTTCAGGCTGTAGCTCAGGATGCACCACGGTGCTTGTGTCCTCATCGGTGAAGGTCTCACACTCGCTGTAGGTGCTCTCGGAGCCCATGTATGCGCTGTCTGTTACCTCATTGGCCTAAAAGAGAGTGCCAAGAGTCAGTCCTGGCACCTGGAAATAACAATGTCCATGTGCGCAAAAAAACCCAACACCCAACATAACACACTGCTGCTGTGGAAGCAGAAATGACCACGTGGAGGGGGGAGCTCTCACACATGAAAAAAGTCCCTACTATATTTCTAAGCAAAAACATTAGCTTACAAAACAATTTAATATTGTTTTAAAATGAAACATAGGCAGTATGTCCAAGTACAGAAAACTACTGGAGTAATTTTTTAAATATATTTTTATTTATTTTAGAGCGAGGAAGGGAAAGGGAGAGAAACATCGATGTGAGAAACACTGATTGCCTCCCACACGCCCCCATACTGGGGATCAAGCCTGAAACCCAGGCATGTGTCCTTACCAGAAATGAACTGGCGGCCTTTTGGTGTATGGGACGACGCTCAAGCAACTGAGCGTATGTATACTGGCCAAGGCTGGAGTAATTTTTAGAGTTAGTTAGTAATTATACTTAAAAAAGATATAAAGCATCTCAACACATGGTATATCCCAGAATAATCACCCATTTTATGGCTTCCAGCATTAGAATTATTTATATCTAAGAATTAGCATTCATAGTGTAAGAATATGCCTTTTAATTTAAAAAGTCACCATGAAGCCCAGGCTGGTGTGGCTCGGTTGGGCGTTGTCCTATGCAACAGAAGGTTGCTGGTTCGATTCCAGGTTGGGGTCGTGCTCTCACATCGATGATTCTCTCTAACAATCAAGAAACTATTCTTTAAAAAATACACACACACACACACACACACACACACACACACACACACACACATCTTTTTTTTATTGATTTGAGAGAGGAAGGGAGAGAGAGAGATTGAAATATCAATGATGAGAAAGAATCATCGATCAGCTGCCTCCCAAAGCCCCACACTGGGGACTGAGCCTGCAACCTGGGCATGTGCCCCGACCTGGAATTGAACCATGACCTCCTGGTTCATAGTTCGACGCTCAACCACTAAGTCACGCCGGCCAGGCAATGAACTATTCTTTAAAAAGAAATGTTTTTAAAAGAAAAGTCACCATGAAGCCCTGGCCAGGGTGGCTCAGTTAGCTGGGCGTCATTTGGTGCACTAAAGGGTTGCTGGTTCAATTCCCGGTCACACCCAGGTTGCAGGTTCAATCCCTGATCGGGGTGCGTATGAGAGGCCACCAACAGATGTTTTCTCTCTCCTTCTCCCTAAAAAAATCAATAAAAACATATCCTCTGGTGAGGATTTAAAGAAAAGAAAAAATTCAAAAAGGTATCATGAATACCTATTATGTCTGTTCAGGCTATGGCAATGAAATTCAATTACGTGCTCTAATTTCAAAATACTAATTAATCAAATTTTTAACCAATTAATTATGTTCACTGGTTAAATGTATACTTTCCCACTAAACATATCTTTATTTTTACCCATGTGGACTCAGCACCTAGCACAGGTCTGGCACACAGCAGGCAGGAAGTATCTGTGGACTGTACAAATTAACTTAAAACTAAAAAACTGTGAAACGCCATTTTCAGTTTATAATCTGAGCTCTAATTAAAACACAATTGCAATGGTTAAGAAATGTAGCCAACATGTCATGCTTACAAGATCCCAAGTTTAACAATTTGAGAAAGTAGCTGGGGAGAAGTGCACTTTGTACTCGGGTTCAGGTATCACGGCTGGTGGACAGTCTGCTCAGATGTGCTAGGATAACAAAAAGTCACAGTCCTTGGCTACGTTTGGGGGCAACTAGAGCCTCACAATGCTGCACCCCCGAGGCTCCTTGTCCCATGGAAGAGGGGCAAAGGACCGTGGCCGAGCCAGTAGGAGCCTGGTGTGGCTCACGAGAGGCCCAGGTCCATCCTCAGTCTGCTGTCTACCAGCCATTTAGCACGGAATGGGGGCTCAACCACTCTGAGCCTGTCGTCTCATTTGTAAAAGGGGGGTTGTAAATGCTGATCTCAACAGGTTGCAACCACATGGGATCAAGAGAGACCACAAAGATAGGTCCCGAAACAGAAAATGAAAGACTAGAGTTCATGTGTTACTGGTGGGTGGAATCCCTGCCAGCTGCTTGTAAGGCCAGAATAAAATAGGGAATGACATGAGATGTACCTACTGAGATGTTCAGTGATGTTACTTATGTTTTTAACAGAAAACCCAATCTTCCTTGGAATCTATGGCAACTAAGTTCACTTCAAAATCTGAAACCAGGAAATCACTTCAAGAGGCTCTCGTCCTACTCATCATCCCTGAGCAGGCTGGCTCTGTGCTTGTTCTGCAGGTAGCATAGGCAGAGACGAGTTACCTGAGCTGGAAGGAGATGCCACTATGTTAGGGAGTAGCTAGAAGGGGGAACACAACCAAGAAGGCACAAAATCCAGTCAATTCCTGATGTCCTCTGAGGTATGGCTGCTAATTGGCTACCCAGTGGCACTGCTCACTTGCATGGGATACTACCCAAGAACCACCCAAGGGCACTAGGAAGATCCCCACACCACACTTCCAGTGATGACGCAAAGACCAGTCAGCTATTCAGTCTTCAGCTGAAAAGTCCTACAAGAGCACTGCTCCTTACCTGCAGGATTATCCCCTGGACCTCCCCCACCTCAACCTCAGTCCTTAGACTGAGGAAGCAGGCAGGGCCCACACGCCCTAATCCTCACTACTCAGGGCTATTGAGGCCCCCCAGATACCCTCTGTAATAGTTTCCTGTGGAAAACAGAATTTGACTCTTAAAAAATTTTTTTTAATGTATTTTGATTGATTTTAGAGAAAGAGAAAGGAAGAGGGAGAGAAAAAACATCAATTTTTGTTCCACTGATGAATTTGGGAGTGAGGGAGGGAGGGAAGGAGAGAGGGACATTAATTTGTTGTTTCACTTATTTATGCATTCACTGGTTGATTCTTGTATGTGCCCTGACTAGGGATTGAGCCCACTACTTTGGTGCATGAGGATGATGCTCTAACCAACAACTGAGCTACCCAGTCAGGGCCAGACCTTGACTGTTAAGGTCAGCTTTTAAAAAGCTAACCATGCCCTGGCTGGTGTTCTCAGTGGTTAGAGCATCAGCCTGCACACTGAAGGGCCGTGGGTTCGATTCCAGGTCATGGGCATGTAACTGGGTTGCAGGTTCAATCCCCAGCCCTGATTGGGGAGCATATGGGAGGCAACCAATCGATCTCTCTCTCCCTCCCTGTCCCCCTCCTTTTTGCCCTCCCTTCCACTCTTTCTAAAAATCAATGGAAAATATATCCTCAGGTAAGGATTGAAAAAAAAAAAAAAAAGGCCAACCAACCAGCACTTCTAACAGATGCATGATGCTCTTCTCTGGGCTGCATGGACCCTCGATGGCAGCTCAGCATCTATAAGAGCAAATCAACTCAGCACCCAACATTTCTCTCCAGGAAAGAAGGTCCAGGCACTTGGGCCTGTTTATTTCACCCGTGCAGTTGAGACCGGGGCTGCAGCTGAAACCCCCTTGGAGCTTGGCCAGAATGGAAATAGTTCTCCACTGACACAGAAACAATGAGGCAGAAGCTATAAAACTCGACTGTTTCAAGCCAGGCACTTACACACTCCATTCTGGGTATCTCCCCACCTTTTAAACAGATAGAGGGCAAACACTCTCCCACCTTCACCCTCCTTTCTAAAGCAAACCCGTTCCCCTGCACCAAATGAGTCCCCCTGCACCAAATGAGTCGTACGCTGATGAAAACTGTTCACCACTTCACAAAAGGCTTTGTGTTTGCACTTACACCTTAATTTGCCCAAAATTATAAATAAATAGGATGGTGAAGGTCCTGTCCCCACAGCACAGCTATAAACATGCAGAAATCCTGGCGAGGGTATTGGTAAACAGCCTCTTATCTGGAGCTCCATACACAGACCAAGGCCACGACAGCAGCCCAAAGGGGACAAGAGACTGGCCGGCTCCATGAGCACCTAGAACAAAACCCAGAGAGGGTCAAGCAGCCAAGAGAGGGACAACTCGTTTCCCAGGTGCTGCCCCACCTGTGCAGCCCCTTAGGGTCAGTTTCTATTGGTCAAAGCTGCCTCAAATAAATGTCGGCCAGCAGGTAGTTTTCCAGGGCAGCTGGGTAAACACCTACTTTTCACGAGAGGCGAAAGTCATCTTAGATCATGGTGCCTGCTCACCCACAGTCTACTAGACAAAACATAAGAGCAGCTCACAGACATGCCCCATCCATTCATTATTTGCCACTAGACAGGACCTAGCTTTGCCCAGAAGCCCACAAGTCTATGCCACCAACTATAAAAATGTTTACAAATTACACATGTTAAGATGAACTCTTGTGCATCTTAGAAAACTTTACATGTTAATGGTACTTTCACCAGGTTGGTTAACAAACAATCTGCCAACAGGCAATAAGGAAGGCTGCATACAGAGCCACTAGGTAAGGAACTCATGTGTGGCCAACCCTGCCTGGGGTCCCCACTGTCCAGGTTGTGGTCCCTCGGAGGAGAACTAACTGCTGGGCATGGTGTGAGCCTGTGTCCCACCACAACACAGCCTCCTCTTACCCTCAGATGCGAGCCCGCACCAGCTCCAGCCAGGGCACGCTCTTGGAGACAGCTTCCCCATCGTATCAGAAGCGCGAGGGCCTTCCGTCCAGACTCTCAACAGACAAGTTGTGCTGGGGTTTCTGCCAAACCTGTGTGTTCACCTGAAGGTACATCACTGCCAGGGAAAAAGTTTAACCTGCTCCCAGACATGCTCTGTTAAACCTGCTGTGCCAGTGGTGGGTGTGGGGGTGTGGAGGTAGGGGCAAAGTTCAGGAAGTGCCTTTGCTGGGTTCTTAACAAACAGTCATATCTCAAAACAGAATGGCTTTTGTTTTTGACTCTCTAACCTTTCAGATACAGTTTGTACAAAAGACACATTTCCCTGTTATATTTTATTAAGGCAGCTCTTTTCTCTAGCTGCTGATAGTGGGAGAGGGAGGAACAGAGGAGGTACAGCAGGGACAATTCTTATCAGTTCTGTTTGTGCCTGTTCCGTGACTTTCCCATCCCCTTCCAGAAATCCTGGCACATGAGATCACCCCATGTAGGCCTCCAGCACTCCATCCTCTACCTCACTCAGATTCTCAGACGAGGAGCTTTCCTCTCATTCCCTGAACGTCAGTGATAACCCTAAGTCGCTTCCTCACTTCTTCCCTTCTCAGACATGCCACATCAGTGACTTTCTCCTAGGAATTATGTTACAAGCGACAAGCCAAAGGGATGCTCAGGGAAATGCTGGGGGCTACGGAACCCACTGAATAGCCCTGGCAGGAAAAGGACCAGAAGCAGCAGCCCATCAATAGTTCTCTGCACAGGGTCCCCTGACCAACACTGTCGTGTGCCCAGCCAGAAAAATCAATAAAAGGCCTGTCTCTGAAGATCTTCAGCAGAGGATCTCCAAATGTGGTATTTGGATGTAATGCACATATTCTCCACTCCTATTTTTATTGGACTTTTAAAGACTATATAATGTACATTTTTTTAAAAAGAGAGCAATCTTTCTGTAAGTTTCACAGTGCTAGTTTCACTCCCCTAAAAATGACATCTAAAAACCTTAAAAAGTATAAAAAGACATGGAGGAATCTTAAATGCATATTATTAAGCAAAAGAAGCCAGTCAGTAAAGACCATACACTGTAGGATTCCAACTATGTGATTATGTGACATCCTGGAAAGGCGAAACCATGGGGACAAATAAAAGATCAGTGTGCTGGGTGCTAGTGGGTGGGTGGGGGAGTGACTCATGGGATCACAGAGGACTGTTAGGGCAGTGACACTACTCTGTATGATACTATAACGGTGGATACAGGACATTGTACATTTGTCAAAAACCACAGACTGTACACCACAAGAGTGACCCTCATGTAAACTATGAACCTTAGTTAATAATAATGCATCAATATTGGTTCATCAGTTTTAACAAATGTACCCACTAAGGCAAGATGTTCATGAGGGAGAAAACTGTGTTGGTGTGTGTATAGGGGCGAGGGGGAGTGATAGGAACTCTTTGCCTATCAGCTCCATTTTCAGTAAACTTAAAACTGCTAAAACATAAAGTGTATTAATTTTAAGTAACAAAAAAACTTTAAAAAAATTTCCTCCATTCTAAAAAAATTAGGATTTAAAAACCTGAGACGCATTCCTTTGGCATACTCTTTGAAATGCCAGGTTCCCACCATGCCATCCAAATGCAAGAGGTGGGAGCTGGCACACCCCCAGGACGGAGGCAACCACAGAGGCGGGAGGGCCACAATCATGTGGGCTGAGAGGGCGATTCACCCACTCAGAGGACAAAACGGGGTCATGGTCAAACAGCACCCCTACTTTGCTCTACCCAGGTTTCGGGGGAGGCAGCCCCACTGCAGTGACTCACTCTTTTGGACCAAACAAGAACTTTAAGTACAAAATGTGTTGATGCCTTTTACTATCCTGAGTAATCAAACACTGTATTAGTTTTCTAGGGCTGCTGTATCAAATTACCATAGACTGGGTGCTTAAAACAATAGGAGTGTGTTCTGACAGTTCTGGAGACCGGAAGTCTGAAATCAAAGTGTCAGCAGGGTTGAGTTCTCCCTTCCTGCCCCTTCCAGCTTCTGTAGGCTCCTGGCGGTCCTTGGGCCTGTGGCTGCATCACTCCGGCCTCTGCCTCCATCTTCATATTGCCTTCTCCCCCCTGTGTCATCTCCCTTTCTCTTCTAAGGACACTCTATTCAGCATGATCTATCTGATCCTGAGGTCCTTAACTCAATTACATCTGAAAAGACCCTTCCCTTTGGAGAAATAGGGTCACATTCACAGGTTCTGGGTGGAAAAATAGCAGCAGAGTAAGTGGATGCTGCACGGACATGCTCCCAGGAACAAACTGGTATTCAACTAAAATACAGAAAAACTTCCTGAATAATCAATGGAAAACTCGCAAGAGAGAACCCTGATACCCGAGGACTGAAAGTGGAGACTGCATTGAGACTGGTAGGAGAGGCAGAGGCACAGGTTCTGGGTGGATGTATCTTTGAGGGACCACCATTCAATTCACTACACATAAAATATTTTAAAAAATTGATGTAATGTCCTAGCAGAAATATGAGAGAGGAATAAAACAAAACCACTGATGATAAAGCGTATGCTCTTGAGACATGATTAAGGATTCAGTGCTGACGACATAAGTAACAGGATCCTGCCATACTGCTGGGAAGGCAATTCTCCAGATGCTCCAAACAAAAAAGGAAGGCTCTCCCCTGGTCTAGCTGCGTTCCTGGAAAATTCAAGATGTGTCAAACCTCACAGAACCTTCCTACTCAGGCCTTGTAAGCAGCCTCTTCAGTCACAGGGGCTGGCAGTTCATCTGAAAGCTGACACATCAGAGCCATGCACACCCGGGGTCCCCCGCCTGGCCACACTGTGCCTTGCAATCAGTACAAGTCCCATCTGGGTACTGGCCTCCACATGCCAGGACTGGGCCTGGCACTGCCCACTCACACCCAGAATGCACACAGGGGACAAAAAGCGGGTGGCTCCTGCCCTTGCGGGGGCTCAGGCTCAGCTGGTACTCTGGGACAAAGCTGTGAAGGATGAACAGGCCCAGGTGGCCTGGGGGAAAGGGGGGGTCTGTGCTGGCAGAAACGATAGTCAGGAAGTGAGCCTGCATTTATCTGAGGGGTCACCAATACCTGAGGCAGCTCCTCACAGGAGGGGCATGAGACAGAGAAGGAAAGCAGTGGAATTCTGAAGTGAGTTAATATTCAGAGGGAATTTCAGAATCTATTCTGTGCAACCCCCTCATTTCACAAAGGAGCCGAGGTTCAGAGGACTGATGTGCAGGGCTTCAGGCCCAGCGGGTCACAGCCTAACCCTGCTCCCCTCACTGGGCAACAGAGGCTGAGGGGCTAGCAGTGGCCACCACGGTCTTCCCCAATAGCTCTTCAAGGACTCAGGAGTTTCCAGTGTATTAAAAAAAATTCCAGACTCAGCCACCTCGACTCTCCCGGCATCTGTCCCAGCCCACCTCTCCAACTAGTGGGACACAGTGATAGTGGTCTGTCTCACAGACCTTCCCCAAACCTTGGAAAAATCACCCTCAATTACCAGCAACACCGGCTTCTTCTGGGGGTAGGGGACAGAGTAAAGCAAGGCATTAATCAAAGGTCTCTAGTAGACCCAGAAAATGGTTTGAAATGTGATAAAATAAAAACCTCAAAATGAGTCCCCTGCTCTGGCCTTGCTTAGCAGCCTGACAGAAGGTGACAATCTCACGAGAGTCCTAACTGCTCAGCCTGTCACTCTAACAACGAACCCGAGGGCGCCTCTTGTTAAGGTTCTCAGTTATGTAACACTCAGAGTAGACACCTATCGACTGTGTGCTGGAGCCAGGAGTCCCCCAAAGCCCACCAACCACAGTGCCCCCACAGTGTACACAGGGCTGCAGAGTGAGTCCTTCCCTGCCCTTGCAGCCATTTCCTATATAAACAGCCAGGGAACCACTAAGTGAAGCAGGACTTAAGATTGAACAGAGGAGTAGGCGTAACATCAAGTTCCCTCTCAGCTCTCTTGTGAAAACCACTTGCCTCAAAGGTAACAAAGTCCTCGAACTCATCAGGGCAGGCCTGCGGCTCCTCGTCCTGGGCAGGGACAATGCTGCACAGCTGGCCATCAGAATCTGCGGGAGAGAAGACCCAGACTTAGCAGGAAACCCAGACCACCCAGAGAGGGCAAGGGGGAAACGATGTGAATGGGCAATGGAGCCTGGACTGGCTATGAGAAACCCGGGGGAAGAAGGGTTAGGATAGGAAAGCAGGTCCCCGACGGAAACAACACTTTGTGCCAGAGTTCTTAGGCAGTGGTGTGGAGGCCAAATGGTAACTACTTCTTAAAAGAGCTGGACAACATTGTAAAAGAGAAAGGGCATGATACTAGCTCTGTGACACCGCTCACGGCTTTAAAAAGTATTAGATGCAAAAAAAAAAGTATTAGATGCCAGATTTAATTTTTTTAAAATTGTACATGTTTGGGGAGGAGTGAGTATAATGAAATATTACCAAAATAACACCTTGTCCTCAGTGCTGGACTCACGGTCAGGTTTTATTTTCTTCTTTTTTTTGCTTAACGTTATCTTCTACAATATATGTTTTATTGTATAACTAGAGGCCTGGTGCACGGATTCATGGACATTGAAAGGAAATTAATTAGAAGGTGGCCAGCGGGGTGGGACTGGGCAAGATGGGCCGGACACACCCTGGAGTCAACCTCCCGCAGTCCTTCCCTGGCCGGCCGCACCTGGGGAGGCATCTGCGAAGTGAGCGGGATCCCTCCGGCAGGTGGGGTCCCTTGGCTTGGCTTGGGGGTATCGGGCTGAAACCAGCAGTCCAACATCCCCTGAGGGGTCCTGGAGTGCGAGAGGGCACTCTGCAAAGTTGCTGTTGCTCGGCAGGTCCTGCGTTGAGCGTCTGCCCCCTGGTGGTCAGTGTGTGTCATAGCTACCAGCCGGTGGGCTGGTCATTTAGGCTTTTATAAATATAGATAAGAAAAAGTTAAAAAGAAAAGCAATCTTTTCATGATGGACAGGATATAATTCTGACGTCAGCAATAGAAACATCACTTTTCAAACACAACCAATTCCCACAAAGAAAAGGTACTGGCTTCCACTGTCTCCTGACCATGTTCAGGCCTAACACTTTCCAAAGAGCGTGCAAGTTATGGAATTATGTTTCTTGATATTGCCTCACTACAGTATACTGTCATATCGTAATAAATATTTATTTGGTTTTTATCCTCAGTCCTGACGCAGAGCTCCTAAAACTCTGGGAACTTCCTTGTGATGGGATGCAAAGAGCATCCGTTGTTACTCATTAAAGAAGCCCCTTTCTGCCTTACCTGGGTTTAAACTAATGAGGTGACTCTTGGAGGATGGAGGTTGGTTAGGGAACCGACCTTGTGGTTAGAGGGCTAGAACTTTCAGTTCCAACTCGACTTCTCAAAATGAGGGGGTTCAGAGAGCTGGGTTAGTGAACACATCATATGGGGAAAATAGCACATCCCAAACTCCACAGGGACAGAAGCCCCTACATTGTGGACCCTCCAAACTCACCCTATATACCTCTTCATCTGGCTGTTCATTGTAACCTTTATAATAAACTGGTGACAGAACTAAAGTGTTTCCCTGGGTTCTATGAGCCATTATAGCACGTTATCAAACCTGAGGAAGGAGTTGTGTCAAACAGAAGTGTGGGTAACCTGGGCACCTGTGGGGTCTGCGCTAACTCTGGGCAGTTGACGTCAGAACGAATTAAATTGTAGGCCACCTAGGTGGGGTCTGCAGAGAATTAGAGAATTGCTTGGTGAGGAAAACCCACACATTGGATGTCAAAGTGTGAGCAGAAAACAGATCACAATAGTACCTATTTAAAATGTATCAGTTACTTATTCAATATATCTCACATAATCTAACATAACATCAGTCACTTATTTAGAAAGTGGAGTAGAGTCTTTGAAGGTCAAATGGAAGAGCAAACCTCCCTGGACGCTCCTGGGGAGAGTACTTTGAAACGGTCATCACCAGCTTCCTTGGCTAGAGAACATTCTTCTTTGGCAGCTGGACCATGTGGGAAAAATGCTGCCCTCCACATCCCCCAACCAGGTTCTGAAGGGCCAGTGGTGTGAAGTCACTGACAGCCAGCATAAGTGGGGAAGGGAGAATGAATGTTGAAGGACCCTCACCACAGAGCAATAGCTGGACACATGGCTACTCCGTCCAGTTTCTAAAGAGCTCTCTCAATTTAAGCAATGATGCTTTTCCTCAATAATTATGAAAATTCAAGCATTTATGCATTTAATAATTATGAGATGTCTTTGCCAATTCAATACTGCTTTGCAGTAGTAATTAAGGCCCTTAAACCAAAATCTCTTATGTGGCTGCTGTTTTGTATTGTTTTCCCTGGGAGTGTGACTAAATACCTGAGGGCTCAGACTATGGCGGAGTGAAAGAGCCTCAGCGCATGGCAGGCTGACAGCCTTGGAGTCCCCTGCACTGGAGGTTTGGGTCTTTGGTGCATGTGAACTACAACAAACTATATGTGCCCTTTTTAAAAAAAAATATTTTTATTGATTTGAGAGAGGAAGGGAGAGGGAGAGATAGAAACATCAATGATGAGAGAGAATCACGGATTGGCTGCCTCCAGCACATCCCCTACTGGGGATCAAGCCCGCAACTTGGGCATGTGCCCTTGACCGGAATCAAACCCAGGACCCTTCAGTCCGCAGGCTGATGCTCTATCCACTGAGCCAAGCCGGCTAGGGCTATATGTGCTCTTTTTGAAGGGGGAGAGGATTGCTGTGGACAGAAGTTTTTGGTTTCTATGACAGGAAGTAAAGGAGGACCATTATCCCAGTGGTCACACATCTATAATAATAAAAGGGTAATATGCTAATTAGACCGGACATCCTTCTGGGCATCATTTCAGACGAAGCCGGGGCCGGAGAGAAGAGCCCGGGTCCCGGGTGCCTGCCAGTGGCTGGAAGGAAGCTTGGGTCCCAGGTGCTGGAGGGAAGCCAGTGCCGGCAGCCAGGGGAAGGAAGGCCTACGCTTGCACGAATTTTTGTGCATTGGGCCTCAGTATTTTATAAAAGGCCAGACTGTTTGGGGCCTATTTTCCCCCTCTTAAATGTTAACAGTCTTGCTTGCACTTCCAAAAATTGAAACACAGAATTTCAAACTCTTAAAACTTAGCGAATCATTTCAGACATGTGCTCAGATTCCAGTGGTGAGCATATGATTTAGGAGTCTTGCCCCACATGGTGAAGAGAAAGATGTGAACATAGCTGATGTTTTTCTATTCTTGATGGAATTAAATAGGACTCCTCTTTCAGTTTTCTTCTACAAAAACTAAAGCAATTTTCAATTAAGTGGAAAATTTTAATGTGCATTTATCTTATTCTTTCAGAGTCAATTTGGGGGGGAGGGGGAGACAAGCCAGAGCAATGGCCTATTTGTAATAATTCCCTCTCTATCTCATTCTATTCCTGAAATAAGGCCTGTGGTTGTGACAGTAACAATCTCCTTGCGCTTTCCCTGCAAACTGGGTCAATATATCGTGTCACTTGCTATGCCGCTCCTGGATACAGAATAAAAGTCTGTCAGACAAGACAGGCTGTGAGCAGCCATGATGGCACAATGGAGGGAAGACTCAAAGTGCACTGGAGCTGAAATTCAGTTGGCGTAATCATGCTTTCCACTCTTCCAAATGCTATGAAATAACATTTCACAATCATCTTTGACTTGCTTTGATCCTAATTTTATTTTCACTCTCCCTTCCTAACAAAAGTTAAATGATGAAGTCAAATTACAAAAAAAATTTGCAAATTACCAAAAAAGTAAAGCCAAGCCCACAGCTCTGAGCAAGACCGGCAGTAGATCCGATGCACAGGGTGGGGTGTTCCCCACGCCCACGCCAGCTGCAGTCACCTGGAGGCCCTGCCACTCAGCCCACTCCAAGACATAGACCTGCTCTGCTGGTGTTGAGCCAAGGGGCCTCTCAACAGCCCTTCCACAGGGAGCCTGGGATGGAGTTGAATTGTGAGGCCTCTTGACAAGAAGGTCAAGTCCTCCCACAGTGCCCACAGCCCAGTCATGCCCCCACCTTCTGATCCTGGTTACCCAAACCAGCCACAGTGACCTCCCTTCAGCTCCCAAATGTGCAGGGCACACTCCCTTCATGTCCCCCACCTGGACCCTGCCACCCCTTCCCAGACTTTCTCAGGAAGAATTCCATGGATCACCTCTGGCATCACCCTCCTCCTGAGCTCCTGTTAGCTCTCATAGCTCTACGGCCTCAACGTGTATGGGCTGTCCTCCACAAGAATGCCGGCTCTCAGGGCAGGGGACTCTACTTCCCAGAGTCTGGAACAATCCAGCTCAACAGTGTCCACACCCACAGTCCTTCCAGGTCTAAGCTGTGCCCTCCCTTAGCTACTGCCCCTCCATCCAGCCTGATTCAAGTTCTCATCACTAAAACCTCCCTTCAGCCCACCCACTCAAGGACCCTGACCCATCTGCTGGCAGGCCAACCCTATCCAAAGCCTCCGACCTTTCTGCCTCCTCAACCACACACCCCAGCAGCAGACTGTCCCTCATATTCCAGAGTCCACTACCTCACATCAGAAGCAGAGGTCTGTTCTACACAAGCTAAACTCAGGGTGGGGGGGATAGTACCTACAATGCACCTCCCAATATAGTTTCGTGTTGAAACCAAGCCCCAAGCCTCGCCTTCTGGGGATGCTTCTATTCCAGAATGTTCTTGCTCCAGGACTGGCTGGCGGGGTCTTATTTTTAATTAAATCAAAGTGGAAATATTACCAACAAGAATGCAAAAACCGAGACTCAAACAATCCCAGTGGGGTTCAATGGTGTGTGTGGGCTGGACAGAGGCTGGCCTTTCCCTAGGTGAACTGATTTTGTGGGGCTTGGAACAGCAGGAGGCTGCTCCCCAATACAGAAGAAGGTGCAGCTGCAGTTAGCCAGTTGCCTGGGGAATGGGGACAGATCAGGTGGAACAGGACATGTCAGCCAGGAGAGGTTAAAATGGGAGCGCAGACTGGAGAGACCTCTGGATGTGACAGAAGAGCCCTGGCCAGCTCCTTTCAGGCAGAGACACAGAAACCCTACCTCGTGCTTCTCTCTGCCAGCCCCTGGGAAGGACAGAGAGTGCCTTAGCTTCAGTGGGGGTATCCCAGGCAAAGGCAAGGAAGAGGGCGGAGGGGTGGGGTGCGCAGGCAGAGGTCCTACCTCAGCGGACCAGGGTGATGGTTAACCATTAAGGAAAGATCAGGACTCAAGGAGACAGGCCATTCTCAGGTGACCATTTGCTCTCACTAGATTGATAAATATCTACACATGCCTTAAGTCACTGAACTTCAAGACACATGCAACCCACGAGACAACCAAGAGGGTCAGCAGCCAGCAACCCGTTCTGTCCGACAGATAATCAGCCCCTGCAGAGACAGCTCCTGGCTCTCAGTGGGCAGGTCATCGGCCCAAGAATTTTATTACAGTGGACTGGTTGTGCCTGCCTGGATCAAGTTTTCCGGGATCATGTGACCCCCCCAGGAACTCCTGCAGCGGAGCCTACTCCATTTCGCACTAACCATGGCCCAAAAGAACAGAGAGCAGCCACCAGCCTGAATTTTGACTAGAGAGAGCCTCAGAGTTTGACCACACAGATGGCCCAGGCTCCATCTCTCACTGACCACTGCCCATACCCACGGGCCAGCTGCCACTGCTGCTCCCAGCATTGCCACTTGAGAGGAATCTGGGCTCCTCAACCACCTGAATCCAAGGAAGCCCAGTTTCAACCCTCAGCTGGAAGGGCAGAGACTACAAGGGGCATGTCCAAGGCCCAGAGCTCCTCCGGGCCCTTTGACTTGTGCCTCAGGGAACACACTGATGCCATCATCCCTGTGCTAAGGTTGTGCAAGTCAGCCCCCATCCCCACCTGCCACACTGACAGCAGCAGCACCTCCCCTGTTGTTCCTTCCCTCGTTTCGTGCTCTGTACGCACAAGGTCCCTGGCTGCTTGTTCACCATGGGTCTCTGGGCTGTGCTGGTGTTCATATCTGTGTGGACTAACTAGGTGAAAGAAGTAACAACACACAGGGCTCCATATACAGAATGCTACTCAAAGCCATCTGGGATTTGGTGTTTTAGGAAACCCAGGCCCTATGTGACACTGTCGGGCAATAATTTTGGGGATGTAACAGAGAAGAGAGGTGAGGCTCTATCAACAGCTGCTAATAAGACCTCGAGTTCAAAGGTACCCCCCCTTGACTGGACCACCATGATGACCATGGGCTCTGCCGAGTCTCTTTATGCCCCTCTTCCTCTGACAAGGTGCAAGAAGGAGGGAGACAGCCTGTGACTGGTGACTTCCCAACACTGCACTCCTGACACCACCTGGCCAAAGATGGGGAATGAGAAGGAAAGGTCTACTCAGAGCTTCAGAGTTTCATTTGAAGAGGAAAGTGCTTGGGCAACTGGTAAGAGAGTAAAATGGTACAACTACTTGGAAGAACATCTGGCAATTTTACACGAAACTGAATTCACATGCACATGACTAGCCACCCCACTGTTGGGTACAGGCCCCCAACACATGAAAACATGTATCTACACAGACCTGCCCACCGATTTCACTAGTAGCTTTATATATAACCCCCAACTGGAACCATCTAGCCCCAAACAAGTATCCACCCATGAGGTATAAGCACATGATGAAGCACTATTCCATAACAGAAAAACAGACTCCTGATACAACACAATGAATCTCAAAAACATCACGCACGGGGAGAAGCCAGGTGAAAGAGCAGATATGGATGATCATATTTACATGAAGTCCATGAAAGGCAAAACTAATCCATGGTGACAAAAATCAGCAAAGAAGGTACCAATAAGAGGGAGGAGATTACTGGAAGGCCAGGAGGGAACTGCCTGTGGTGATGTTAGTAACTCTTGGCAGTGATTTGCATTACCAGGCACAGGAACTTGTCAAAATTCACAGAATGGCACACTTAAGGTTTCACTGTAGGTAAATTTTTACTCTAAAAAGACTGCAAACAACTATTGAACTCTGGGTAATGACTGATAGCATGCTGAAAAGTTTAGGCTGAAGTGTATGGAAGTATACTGATTTGTAATGCATCCCATTAGAAAAAAAGAGAAAATAAATAGGAAGATGGATGAATAAAGCAGATATGGTAAAATGTTGCCTGCAGAATACAGATAAGAGATATACATATGAGTGTTCACTGTGTAAGTCTTTTAATATTTTTGTATGTGTTAGTTTCCATTAAAAACTCTTTGGGGAAAGTGGCAGTAGTTTTCTAACATTATGGATAAGTAGTTGAGTCAATCAATTCTGGAAGATAGGGTATGTGAAGAGCAAATAACAAAAAAGGAGAGAGAGCATCCTTAAACCTGGGGCATTTTAGGGACTTCAAAGAGAAGGGAAGACATTAAGCTCAGCAAAAGGAGTCTGAGGCGTAAGGGTCATTAATAAGGGGTGGCTGAGCAAGAGGGAAGGACAGTGGTGGAGTTGAGGAAGGGGTGAGGCGATGGAAGCACAGAGGTGGGGGAGGGGGGTGACTGACCTCCATTTCTGATCGCCGTGATCCCTTGGTAGAAGTCTTCAAAACTGATCACGCCGAGCCCACTGGGATCCAAGTATTTCGTTAAGTCCTTCACCTGCAATTGCCAAGTAAAAATATGTTACCCAAGCCTTTACAAAATTGGAAGGGGTATATCATACACTTGACTTTTCACCATATTTAGAGAAGCAGCCTACTTGTAAGGTGCCATGCTGAAAATAAGAGCCACTGGTTCCTCTGATCCAACAGAAAACAGGCGGTATCCTAAGAAGGTGCCAACGACACCTGGGACAATGAGTCAGGAATAAGATCCTGCTTTCAAAAGTCAAGAGCCATGCTTCTTGAGTGAAAAGATAATCCAGTGTTAACATTTTAGTATTATTCTAGCCATTGTCTAGATTACTACACATAGCACAGACCCACCCATCCTTTCCAACAGCTGTGCAGAGTTCTTAGGAAAGACAACGTAGGCAAGTAGATCTAAACATCATAAATAGTAAGTCAATAATTCACACATGGGTGTTATAGAAAATGAAACTCTTTGAAAAAAGACATTTGTATTTCCAAGTATAAAATGGATTTCATCAAAATTTTAAAGTTTTGCACCTCAAAAGACATCATTAGTAAAACTAAAAGATAAGACACAGACTGGGAGAACATAAATAAATCATATATCTGATAAAGGACTTGTATCTAAAATGTATAAAGAAATCTCACAGTACAACAAAAAGACAAAAAAAACACAATTTTTAAAAAATAGGTAAAAATTTTAAACAGTTGCCCTGGCCTCATCCCATGCACCAAAATATCATGGTTCGATTCCCAGTCAGGGCATATGCCTAGATTGTGGGTTCAATCCCTGGTTGGGGTGCATATGGGAGACAATCGATCAATGTTTCTCTCTCACAATGATGTTTCTCTTTCTCCTCCTCTCCCTTCCTCTCTCTCCCTCTCTCAAAAAAAAATTTAAACAGTTATTTCATCAAAGATATACAAATGGCTTATAAGCACATGAAAAGATGCTCGATATCATGAGTCCTCAGGGAAATGCAAATGAAAACTACAAGCTATCACTCACTAGAACAGCTGTAATCAAAAGTATTAACAATAACAAGGATTGGTGAAGTTGTCGAAAAATTGGAACTTCATATGCTAGGAAGAATGTAAAATGGTCTGGCTAATTTGGAAGATCATTTAGCAGTTTCTTGAAAAGGTAAACATAAGCTTAGTATACAACATAGCAATTCTACTCATAGGTATCTACCCAAGAGAAAAAAATAGGGGGAAAAAGATGTATATGCAAATATTCATAGCAAGCAGCATTATTCACAATAGCAAAATAGCAAAAGCAATTCAATGTCCATCAACTGAGGACTGGATAAACAAGATGTGATCTATCCAACAGACTATCATTCAGCCATAAGAAGGAATAAAATCCTGATACATACTACAACATGAATGAACCTCAAAAACATTTTGCTAAGTAAAAAAGCCAGACACAAAAGATCACAAATTATATTCTTTCATTTAAAGGAAATTTTCAGAAAAGATAAATATATAGAGATACAAAGCATATTAGTGGTTGCCTGGAAATTGTGGGGTGGAAGTGGGATGATTGCTAACAGCATGAGAACTCTTTGGCATGTGGGAATGTTGTAAAACTAGGCTGTGATGATGACTGCATAACTTTATAAATTTACTAAAATTCATTGATTTGCACATTTACAGTGGGTAAATTTTATGGCACCTAAATTATACTTAAAAAAGCTCTTAAAAACAAATGAATAGTCCGGCCGCCTTGGCTCAATGGTTAAGCCTCGACCTATGATCCAGGAGAACATGGTTCGATTCCTGGTCAGGGCATATGCCCAGGTTGTGGGCTCGATCCCCAGTGTGGGGAGGGCAGGAAGCAGCTGATCAGTGATTCTCTCTCATCATTGATGTTTCTATCTCTCCCTCTCCCTTGCTGAAATTAAAAAATATATTTTAAAAAATTATATTTAAGAAAACGTCCCTAAAAAATTAACTACATATTGAAAGATTACATGGGGTACCTAAGAAAATCAACTCCCAATCCCAAAAGACCTACTCTAACACTTAATCTGATAAATTTTTTGGACTTTGAAGGAAAAAAACACACCTTTGAATAGCTATGTGAAAATCAAATGATTTTATAAAAGAAAATTAGATTATCATTAAACTTCTCCACAGCAACACAGGAATATTCTAATTCCATTATTCCAAGTGTTGTTGAGGACTGGGATCCTCCACATCACCATGAGGTATCTATCACACATGATGTTTTAAAAATGAAACAATAAAACCCTTCTAATTGTGTTCAATTAACAGTGAGCACCTGTAGCACCTAGGTTGTGATATTTAAATTCAGTTTCCATTGAAAGGAATCAGGACCCTTGGAGAAATGCCAGGAGATGTGCAAGTTAAGCCTGGAATATCTTGTCACACCTGAAAGCAAAGACTTTACTAGGTCACATCAAAGAACTCGGGAGCCAACCTAAACAGGATTTTATTTTTAAAATATATTTTAATGATTTTTTACAGAGAGGAAGGGAGAGGGATAGAGAGTTAGAAACATCAATGAGAGAGAAACATCGATCGGCTACCTCCTGCACACTCCTTACTGGGTATATGCCCGCAACCAAGGTACATGCCCTTGACCGGAATCGAACCTGGGACCCTTCAGTCCGCAGGCCGACACTCTATCCACTGAGCCAAACCGGTCAGGGCCTAAACAGGATTTTACAGTAAAAAATGAAACAATATGAGCATTGATGAGAATGAAAAATACAGCAGACTGAAATATATCACATTTTAGTCAATTAAAGCATAATTATGGTTAAAAAACAACAACAACTAGTCATTAGTGGAGGACACTAGTGAATCAATTTATCATTGCGAAAACTAAGAAAAGGAAAGAACCAAGCAGTTAGCCTGCCTTTCCTATACAAACTGTTAACTCAGGGTAAGCAACGGTAGTCATGAGGGGAAGTGTCTCTTCAAGAATCATTCCAGCCCTGGCCTGCGTGGCTAGGTTGGTTGGCATCCTCCCTTTCACCGAAAGGTTGTTGGTTCCATTCCCAGTCAGGGCACATGCCTGGGTTGTGGGCTCGATCTCTGGTAGGGGGCGTGCAAGAGACAGTCTATCAATGTTGTGCTCTCACATCACAACGTTTCTTTCTTCTCCCTTCCTCTCTCTTTAAAAATCAATAAATTACTCTTTAAAAATAAATAATCATTCCAGCCAATAATCCAAAAGGGAATGATGGGATTCAAATGTCACCATCCTGCAGTGCTTGATGAAGAAATGGACATAATCAATGACCCTCAGTGCTTCCCAAGGGCACAAAAAGATAGACAATAAGACACCAAATGCCTCCTGGTGGAAGTATGTGACGCCACCTGAATCCAACTACCAATTTACAGGAAATACAATGATCAAAGCAATGTGTTTCAATAATATCACAGGGATGTAATCAGCAAAACCCAATCCATGAGGACCTTAAAAGAGATAGATAATGCCCTAACCGGTTTGGCTCAGTGGATAGAGCATCGGCCTGCGGACTCAAGGGTCCCAGGTTTGATTCTGGTCAAGGGCATGTACCTTGGTTGCGGGCACATACCCAGTAGGGAGTGTGCAGGAGGCAGCTGATCGATGTTTCTGACTCTCTCTATCGCTCTCCCTTCCTCTCTGTAAGAAATCAATAAAATATATATATTTTAAAAATACATGTAGCCCTAACCTGTTTGGCTCAGTGGATAGAGCGTTGGCCTGCAGACTGAAGGGTCCCAGGTTTGATTCCGGTCAAGGGCATTGTACCTCAGTTGTGGGCACATCCCCAGGAGAGGGTGTGCAGGAGGCAGCTGATCGATGTTTCTCTCTCATCATCAATGTTTCTAACTCTCTATCCCTCTCCCTTCCTCTTTGAAATCAATAAAGATATATTTAAAAAAATACATCTACATTAAAAAAAAAGAGAGAGAGAGACAGATAACTGGCCCGGCCAGTGTGCTCAGTGGTTGAATGTCGACCTATGAATCAGGAGTTCATGGTTCAATTCCAGTCAGGGCACGTGCCTGGGTTGCGGGCTCAATCCCCAGTAGGGGGCATGAATCGCTCTCGTCATTGATGTTTCTATCTCTCCCTCTCCCTTCCTTTCTGAAATCAATAAAAATATATTAAAAAAGAGACAGATAAGTGACCTGTTATTTTCAAGGAGAAAAAAAAAAAAGATGGAGAAAGTAAACCTTTAGGAGAAGAAACTTAGGAGCCTGGCTGGTATGGAGCAGTGGTTGAGCGTCAACCTACGAACCAGGAGGTCACTGTTCAATTCCCAGTCAGGGCACATGCCTGGGTTTTGGGCTCAATCCCCAGTAAGGAGAGTGCGGGAGGCAGTCAATAGATTATTCTCTCTCATCACTGATGTTTCTATCTTTCTCTTACTCTCCCTTGCTCTCTAAAATCAATAAAAATATATTTTGAATACTGATCCTGGATAATGAATATTGACTGAGTATTTGATATTAAGGAACTGTTGTTCATTTATGCACAGTGTTTTTATATATTTCCTAAAATATTTAGGGATACTTTAAAAACCTGGGGGCTGTCCTGGCCAGTTTGGCTCAGTGGATAGAGCATCAGGTTCGATTCCGGTCAAGGGCACGTACCTTGGTTGCAGGCTTCATCCCTGGTGCTAGATGGGGTGTGTACAGAAGGCAACCCATGTTTCTCTCACATTGGTGTTTCACTCTCTGTCTCTCTCCCTCCCTTCCACTCTCTCTAAAAAAAATAGAAATTCTCATGAGAGGATTAACAATCCTATATAATAAAAGCCTAATATGCTAACTGTCCAGTCGTCCACTCAACCAATCAAAGTGTAATATGCTAATGATTTGCTAAGGCCGCTCAACTGCTCGCTATGATGACCACTGACCACCAGGGGGCAATCAACCAGTCGCTGTGACATGCACTGACCACCAGGGGGCAGATGCTCCAACTGGTAGGTTATCTTGCTGCTGAGGTCTGATCAGGACTGAGCGAGATAGGCCAGACAAGCCCTGGAGCCCTTTCATGGTCCC